TTTGATTCAGTCGTGGGTTCCTATCCATGGCAAAGAAACCCAGGCCTTGAAGTACACTGATGCCCAACCCAATGGAGTACCCACTGCCTTTGTAGCACCTCACCTCAGCAGTCTGCCTTTCGGGTAACCACCAGAGTTGCAAATCGAGTACAGTACGGGCATCAACCGCGGTCCTTGAAACGAAGGCATTTCGCATGACAAGCCGCCTTGATACAGGAGGATACTTCTATCAGATGGAAAGGTGGAAGAGCAAACGATAAGAGAGGGCCGAGCAAACCCTCGAGCGTATTATTTTATGGCTGAGGGGCAATCCAGTCCATGAATGAAGAAACGCTGGGCAACCTTTGATCACAGCACAGTATAGCCACCTGTTTGAATAGGTAGGCAAAAGCGGTCAGGGGCTGGTAAATATACTAAGAAGCAAGGGATTTCCACTAGAATAGTATTTATGGGATGGTAGGGGGAATGTCAACGCTTGGCAATGGGGCGCTTGGGTGGGCAAATACCACGGGTAACCGTCGAGCCCCACCGAACTAAACGGTGTCGCCAAAAAGCCATCTCCAGTACAGAATCGTGGTTACTCACTGCTCTTGCCGCGGGGTATTATGAAGACTTATCGATACTGCGCCCTAAATGCCCACACCCAGAATGAGGTCATTCTTCAGGATCCGATCATCATTCGGGCGCGGATGAGGCAAACGGCTCTTCCACCGATTCTCCGCACCCGGGATTGTTCCAGGGCATCACGTAGTCTCTCAACTGCTTCCAGAACACGGCAGTTTTCGACCGCACTTATTTTTGGTATCCGCGTTAATTATGTATAGCGATACATAGAGGTGTTGGCTGATACTGTGTGGGAAGTTGGATTTTTGCGGTCACCTAGACCCATTTCGACTTCCACGACCTGAGTGAACGCCGCCTCAGAAGCGCCCACCACAATTGTAATGGGAGGCTAGTTGGAAGCTTCAAAAGGGCCTCTCTTCAGATGATGCCCTTTTAAGGTGGTTGCTCGTTGTTTGAGGCATCCAACGATCCGCATTCCCTGTTCTTGGTAATAGGAATATTGATAATTATCCAAAGGGTGAAGAGCCCCTATGCTGATAAGAGTAGTCAACCGACAAACATGACGATGAAGCCTTATATATCCATATTCTACATTCCGTAAATCGCAGTTGAAGGGGTAGGCCATAAAACTTTAGCCCCACACAGTATGTACTAAAGGACTGATTAGGCTCAGATATTGGGAGCATGGACCTGGGATTGGACTAGTTATAGTAGATTCTGTCTTCGTCCTAGTATTGGCGAAAAGGCAGGTATTTACTTTCTGGCATAGGCTAAATGTATCTCAGATAGCCTTCCAGGACCGCAAGTGTTAAATAAATGTGTCGGTTTTCACAGCCGAGAAACATCGTGCCTCCGGAGAAACCCTTCAAAGAGAAAATGTGAAATACAATATTATCAGTTGCCGATTAGGAGAAGGAGGCCAAACTCATTCAACATAATATTAAGTTGGTGTGGGCTTTCGAATGCGGAGTAGCAATTGTCAGGGAAACAAAGCCAATTTATCGTAGACCTTGGTTAGAAGTGAAAAATATAACGCCACAACGTGTACTGCGCAATGAATATTAAGTTATATAGCAATGAGAGCCTTGTTTCTATGTACCCAAGTATTATTATTTTAATTGTTAGACCCAGTTGCTTACAGTGGTTTACCAATAGTTGGATGCTGCACTTTATGTTAATGCTTCCTGCATATCATTTTTCCCATGTGCCGTGTTGGCTCAATTCTAGCACCCTGCATGTATGTGTTGGTGTATATTGGTCCGGAGCGATTCAGGTGCACACAGAGAGTGAAGGCTTGAAAACCAAATGCAAATAAAAGAAACGCTAGAGAGGTTATAGGTACCCACTCAATTCTCTGATTTGACCTCAGTTATTATAAGCGGTGAACGTTGACATGAAGACGCCGTCAGGTTAAGCCGGTTTAGCCTCGACCTTCAGCTATTCTGGAGTTGACCCATCTGAGGTGGTTCGATGCTCCAGCAGTGTCCCGCACTGGGCCCATGTCCAACCACCGGTGATATGGCTCCACGTCGATGTCCATGAGTCGGAGCTCATCGGTCATCTTTGGCTGAACGATCGCCCTCACCTGGTCGCGGATAGTCTGTCGAGCACACACTGCAGACGAGCGATTAGTTAGTATGGCTTGAACGGAAGCAACCAATATGGGCTCGATCGCCATACCGCCTACCAGCATACACCCTCGACGCATACAAAGGTGTTCACTTATAGTCTTTTCCACGTCCACAGACCCCCGATTGAATCGCACCCTCGAACCGGGGCTGCGAGAGGATTCATTTTTGCGATTTTGCCGGTAGTAAAGGAAGAATTGAAGGATCTGTCATTGTCAACATGTGCAGAGCAGCCTGCGCCGCGGTTGGGTTACCTTGAATTCTTGACGATCAAGGTCAAGCAAATGCTGCATGCTCACCCAACGACGATTGTCTGGACACTGTTAGCACAATTCCCCAAGTTCAGAGAGAGACAACGCGCTCGCGGTTGTTGCGAAAGGCAAGTACCTAAGTCTTCCATTTGCCAGACAACGATGAGCTTCCGTACCATGGCACGGTGTTGCTCACTCGCTAGGACAAGCTCCTGGATGAGAGAAAATACGCGCGCGATGCCGATATCCTCTACGACAAGTAGCACAATCCCGAAGCGGGTGAGATCGGGCGGTCTCCCGTACGGGCCCAAAACGAGTGCATTCTGTTGAACGTTGTGGAGACTTTTAGCCTGATAAAGGGTAGCATTGAGTGTCGAAGACTGCGGGCGGGCGAGCACGTGCAGGGTACGTCTACTCGCGGCATCGGTCAAGGCACTCGCCCCGCCCAATGGTTCACCTTTACTGGCAGTGCATGCTGCGGCGTCGTGGTCTTCCAATCGCTCGGCATCCCCCCGTCTTGTCCTCTTTTTCGCGCTGTATACCGATGGGGTATCATCAACCAATGTCTCCGCTTCACTCCATGTGTCTTCCTGATCAGTAGGGTGCCCAGATACATCATCCTGTGCCGATGTCTCGCGCTGATCGGACAAGTGTAATAATGGAGAGGCTAGTGCCCCGGAGTCTCCAGGGCTAGACGTATCATCCCAGGATGAGATATAAAAAAGGAAGAGTTGACTTGCGGCCCGCAGGCCTGCATGCGGGAGCCAGATGTATACATATTGACCAGCCTCAACTTTCCATCGAGATGGAACGGTGATATCTATATGCAGGAGCTCATGACAGGGAGAAATAACCACGGAAGGCCACGAGCGTCTCCAGCGCCTCAGTAGGGACCTGGCCAGGGCGGTCGCAGTCAACGCAGTCCATAGTGCCGCCGCAGCCACCAGGTACCAGAGGCATTTTGATCGGTACATCCAGACATGGAACGACAGTGAGGCTAGTGCGGTTGACCCCAAAAGGTAGTGGCACTTCATCGCCAGCTGCGGATGGCGACGAGTGATCGCATGCAGCGTCACCGGAAAGATCAAGACTAGGGCACATGCGGCCTGGTTTAGATTAGACAGAGTGATTTCTGCTTTGTGAAATTGGGTCATGGGATATCTCAAGTGCATGGGGGCTTACCACTCACCATGAATGGAACGTAATGCCGTTGGATGGCTTGCACCGGGTTGTCATCACTCCGGATCACGATAGCTCCATGGAGGATGGAGTGGATTATGACCGCACGGCCGATCCACCGATGCATCCATGATACGGTCGACCACTTGACACCGAGAAGATGGGCAGGGAGTCCGAAGGTCAACCCTGTCCATAGTGGAACAAGGTTCATGACGGCGATGTTGGCAGCCCGTCGGTGGACAACTATCCAAGATCGAGACCGTATAACCAATGGCAGGATATTCACCGTGAGCAGGAAAACGACAATCAGCCCCTCTTGGATTGTGGCCATGTCAAGTTGATAAAATGGCCTCGGCAGAGGGGAGCCTAAAAGTCGGTGCAGGTGCATTACAGGCCGTCGGAAAATGCAACGGCAAGACCGGTAGGCAAGACGCCAGCCAAGCCAACTTCCCAAGATGATTACGGCGCATATCCCATACCAGTCGGTCTGCGATATTCGAACAATATGGTCGTATACTCAGTTGCGAAACCAATGTCACCCCCAGTATAGTCTCTTTTGTTCTCCATAACTCTGATTCCGTACGAAAAGGGTAAAGCTCCCGATAAAAGACTTGGCAAATTGACATGATTGGCCTACGATTTAAGCTTTACTATCTACAGTCTAGTCTCTACTCGATAAAATAAAGAGAAGTGTCCGGAGGGGTGGCATTGGTTTCGACTTTGTGTGTATAAGAGGGATGTCGCTGGCGGCATCCTGTAGGTAGGAAGATAGCTATGGGAAGGGAAGTATTTATGTACGGCATTTGGTGTCTTCTGAAGTCTTCACTTAAATATCAACAGAGACGAAACGAGTATCATTCGCAAGTCACTCCGGCCATATTACACGATGATTCAGATGTAGGTTAGCGACAGGTAGCCCAGATGTGCAAATACTGAGGGGTGTGCTCCCATATGTGGGTATAATGACCCTCATGAAAAGAATAGCTAAACAACAATACCGAGATGTACTGTTCCTGGGCTCCCCGGCTGCAATATGTAGTGGCTTTTCACTTACCCCCTCCACGGGTCGAGTTTCGACAAAATGCGGGCCGAAGATATCTCCACTGCCGTTTGTTTCTTATCTAGTTTTCAATAATGTACAGTTGATGCTGTTTATGTCACTAACCGTGCTAGTCGAGCAAGAAAGTGATCACCTTACCGAGTACACCCAGAAAATGGGGGGCTATGCTACCGCGCCTTTCCGTGCAAAGGCTGATCAGGGTCTCCTTTTTGGCACCTGGGGAGACCGGCACGTCCGGTATACCGTAACCTGATCCTGATAAATTGGGCATGGCTTGTCATGATATGTTAAAACCCAAGCTTGCAACTGCCCGGGCCCATGGACGGCTCACGCGGCGACCAATACCTCGTCAAGGAAGTCCCGTACAGTGCATATGCAGACCGTCCGGAATCTAGCGTCATGGACAGGAACCATGAAATGTCGGTTCAAATACTCAAGGATACCTTACCGGATGACAGCCATTCACAGGCATTAGTTCTTTACCATGACCCAATGACATCCTCTGTGGGCTTCACAGCCGAGTCCAGAGACAATGCTCAGACGGATCAATTTCGTCAACGGCCAGCAGCTGGCGGTCAAAACAGTCCCACCGGCTGCTGGACTCCCTCTATCAGCGAAAAAACAGTGGGGCCGATGAGCAATCCCCCTTTCACCCCTGGAGACGACATGACGAGCAATGAGCACATGAAGCGCTCCATGGACCACTTTATGGCCGAACTGTTGCACCTAGTATCTACTAGCCAAGCAAACATAGGATCATTGTCCAAAGGCGGCAACAAGCACGGGTGGCGTGCCCGACGCACGGCTCGATTGAGAGAGGACGGTGGTTGTGCGATCGCAAAATCCACGGCAGCCCGGCTGTACGATCGGGCACGTCAGGCTGGCATTGCTTTTTTTCAACGGCAGCTGCAAGCAATTCAACGCTGTCTGGATGAGGAAGCCGCGATGGCGCATGGAGTGATTGACGATCCCACGCTCCTGCGTGTAATTGCGCAGAGGCATCCGAGCTATGCCAAGCCGATCCGGGTGATTGGCCTGCTCCAGCGACATCTGCCTCATGATTTTCGATGGTCAACGGTCTTGAAGGATCGTCGAGCGTTGGTGCATGCTGTCTTGAAGATGGCGAGGAATTGGTTATCTCGGGACTATTCTTAGGGTGACAGACAATGAGTTCGCTGCGGACCAAGTCAATTGTGTAGTTTTTTTTTTTTTTTTTTTTTTTTTTTTTGCGCGCGAGCAGACGTTATAAATATTAGGCAATTTGTATAGATCACGTAAAATCTCCATGCAGCTGTTGCCCTGATAGGGTAAGAAGACCAGAAGGCGATCAGGAAGCCTCTCATTGCACTGTGGTTCGCTCCATAACTGTTCTCCAGTACAGTGGAATGGAAACGTCAGGGCGGTTCTGAGCGCTACCAGCTTTACCCGGATGGCCAGATTGACTACGCTGGGTTCACCGGTCCATGGCCTCTTTGCCCTTCTTCCTCAGAACACAAGGCCATCAACCCACGTATACAGGGGATTGTTGGTCAAAATCTGGCCACTAGGTGGCCTTATCGCTGCACCACCGAGCCGCAGCTATGGATGGCAGCGGAGCGGGTTGGGCGTCGGCCATGGCGACGATATCATCATCACCAGCAGACCACCGCTGTTGTCCAGACCGCAACTAGCCCCGCAGGTATTAGACGGTCGTGAACGATTCCCTCACCGGCCATTGGGGCGAAAAGGAGGGGCTCTTCCGTCAATTGAGGATAGACGCTCATCTCGAGAGCCCCAGGACCACCTCAGAGGCAGATATCTACTACGCTCCTAAACGCCTTGGCTGGGAAACGGCTACGTGGGGTGGACAGTTGGTGGGAAGTAGAAGAGTGTCGCGTCCCATGACATACGGTATAGTCTGTCCATAGATCAAGATGAGACGGCGCTACATATGGAAACGCCGGGCCTGCTACTGTATACTTGGAACCCCATTTCATACATGACCAAGTAACACCTAATGATGTGTTGCCCGCCCCTAGACCCACCTCACGGAAGGGCCTCCGATCCGAGGAACATTCCATTGTCTTTTCCATTCAAACTCCGCACGTGCTTCCCGCTGGAGCGCTTGCTGCAGGGCGCTGCGAAGCCGCTGGTTTGCTCGTCGAACGCGCGCGTTGCCCTCCGGGCTGGTCTCTGGCTCGAACTCGTATTGCAAAATCAGCTCTTGAGATACATCGACGGCGACCGCGGACAAATCCTCCAGGATTTCCAGACAGGTTTCAAAGAAGCGATTCTCGTGATCCTGACATTGCCACTGTCGCTTCTTTTCGACGATGGTCTCCGGTAACGAGAGTCGCCGGTTGGCTTTGGCACACTGCAACCGTGCCCGGGTGGTTTCCAGCGCGATGGTGGATCCGCGAGCCAGGTATATTTGGTGATCGAGCGGTTGAATGTCGGGCAGATCATGCGGGGTTGGACTAGCCGATGGCTGCGCAAGCTTCGGTGTATGGGGTGGTCGGCTGTAAATACTCGACGCATCATCGTCGGCACTACATGGCCCATGCGGCGACATTATGACGCAGAATCATCGACCGAACTACACGGATATTCCCCTGCATCGGTTCTACCTGCGGAATGAGAACAGAGGCGCTCCTCTATTTATTCTTTCCACTCTCATCAACCGGTACGTGCTTACGCCCGGGGCCGGCGCAGGGCTTCCTATCCTATTTACAAAGGTGAGGGCCGTTTTTAGAAAGGAGATATAGAGCGGGGGCCATTTCATATCGTTGCCTTCAATGAGACCAGTTTCAACGCGGGCGCTTTTGCGACTGCAGCAAGCAGGCAAGAAACAATTGTTCGAGCTCCTATACGGCCAGCAGTTTTGTGTACCGTAGAATCCACAATTATGCGTGGCAGCTCGGCCACATGAAGCCAGTCTACCAAGGCCCAGGAAATAACTACCGTATAATAAGCAGAATAGTGAATGGCAATGAGGCGTACGTTCGATCATTCCAAACAGATACTTGGATTTATCGCCAGGCAAGACGGGCACTTAGCACGTGGCTGTTACTGCTCTGCACGAAGACCGAGACAAGCTCATGTGGGCTGTGTTAAGCTTGATGTGGGCAATGGCCATAGCTGTGCGATCTGTCCGCCTCATTCTGTGAAGCTTTGGCTAAACGCTATAGGTGTCGGGTCTTGCTATCCACCGGGGGAATGAAGCATGGAGTGTATTGGTATGTGCGAGGTCATGGAAGCTCCGGGAATAGCCAACGCCGTATTACTGACGATGTCCAAGGAGACCCGGCCCATCCCATCCCACAGCGGTCAACCCGACACTGTCAACCCTTCTGCGGGGCATGGTATGTGACGCCCCGGTCAAACTTGCACTTCTGGAAAATGCGTATGCTAAGGCGCGACCTGGAAGGATCTACGATGTTGCTGAACCGAAGGCGTATGCACCATTGGCATCGACACCGAGCCCGGTGTCTGTAGAGCAAGACCCATAATGTGTCCCCAGATGGCCCGCTCAGTTGACCAACCGACCATGGTATTAACCGCCGAATCTGACGAACGAGCCAACATGCAAGTAACCAGGGTCTATTGCTGGATTTCACCGAGATGGGCAATACCGCTTTGATGAGAACTGCCACGGCCCACATAGAAAACGCGAGGGGGTGTGAAAGGGAGGGTCTGGCCAAATTCCTTTTATCGAGTAGTTTATAACAAATATCGCATACCTTGACGAGCTCTCTGTTCCCGGGTACGACAAAGTCCATGCGATGAGGCACGTCGGTATAAGAGCCAGCGATCATTGCTACCTTTGGCCGATGGACCTCGTCCGCCGATTAACGTGCGCTGGGAGCCATGTCCAGTCGTAGACGTGAGGTCGCGGGCCGCACGATGTGGTTTGAGGGCGAGGAACCACCGCCTGTCCAAACACCGGAGGTGCGCACAAACGTCCATTCCGACACGGTGTTGGCCGAGCTCTCCAACAATTTCGGATCGAAGACGCCCTCGTGCGAACCCACATACACCCGTCGTGAAATTCCGACGAACAACCCATAGCAGACATACAAACCATGTGCTCGCATCGTCTACGGGGAACGCATGGTTCTGGCCCAGCATCGACAACGTAAAGCGGAATTTGTTCATATTCAGGATGGTGGCACGGAACGACCAATCGTAGGTGCTTGGGTCCAAACACTGGATCAAAACGCCCACCGCAGCTTCCGCCGGCTTGTGGATGTCATGCAGCATCACCAGCGCTACTTTTTGATATGGGAGCCGATCGAATTTACCGTCAGTGAGGTTCTGGCATCAACGTGCGAGATCTCGGAGAGTGAGATAGTGCAGATTATCCGGCCCGTATGTATGAGCCTCTATCTTCAGAGTGAAGCGATTGACGCAAATTCGATAGGTCCTGGAAGGTATTGCGTTCCTTCACGATCAGGGCAGGGTCCTGCAGAGCCTGGCACCTCGAGACATACTCATAACTGCAAGCGGCGAATTCAAGATCGGTAGGCCAGCCCGGCATGATTCAAGGCTGCAACGTACTAACATTGACAAAACATAGCCGGCGTGGAGCACAGCCGCGAGTGCGACACTTCCCCATCTGATGCAGCAGCCTCGCAACTGGCTCCACTCGTGACGATTGCCACGGAATTGATGAAGAAGAATAGGGCCGCTTTCCCCTGGAGTTGGCATGCACAGAATTTCTCGACAATGGCGATTGACAACCCGTTCGTGAATCCTGTGGACGCGCTGTTAAGTGTAGGTTGCCCGTACGTTTCAGTCGCCATGCCGCAAACATGCTGATTTCCCAGCATTCTTTTCTTCGGCCTTCAACGGGCGAAGAAGGGCTTCAGGCCCTCATCAGTGTAGTCAACAAAACCGCCTATCACGCAGTCATACCTCTACGTGACTCTGGGCATCGCGTACGGGATCGAAATGGTGCTACAAGGGGATGAGACTACGTGCAATGCTCAGTTGAGATCAACCCGGGAGAATCATTTGTGCGAATGGCTCTCCTCCGGTCACAATAGTCCGCCGCGGCGGTGAAAATGGCTTTTGGTTGAGCGCAGGATCCGCATCATCGACCCGTTTATTGTTTATCTGATCGGTGCTTGTGTGCTTATTAATAACGGTCGTTAACGTAAATCCTGGGCGAGTGGCCACCCCCTACCCGAGTGGCCACCTCCGTATTCCATGTTAAAGGCCACTATTTTATATCAAGATATCTTGACAACGTAGACTTCAAAATAGTTTCTTTTTAAATAAAATAGATACTAGACCTTTCTAAATACTTCACAGCTTTTTATAAAATTTTAATATTTTTTTATCGCCTATAATACGAGATTATCTAGATTTACAAAATATACAACTAATAACAACTGTATTTGAGGTATATATTGAAGTTATAGAGCTTAAATTCGAATATAGTATTAAGATAAGCTATTTTATACTATGTTTTAACTTTTAGATTATTACGAGCTTTGTTGGTAGAGATATCTTGATATAAAATAATGTCTTTTAATATGGAATACAGAGGTGGCCGCTCGGTCGGGGGTGGCCACTCGCCCAGGATTTACGTTATGTCTTGTTTAAGCATGGCAAACAGCTTCATTTCAGTAACATGTACCTCACGTGGTTTATTAATTATATATCATAAATACATATCTTTATTTTATTTCAATGCCATTTAGGATCCGCTGAGAGTCAATTCGAGTTTTTTTGCTCACCGGGTCAGAGTTACAAGTGGTCAAGCGGAACCCCGAATGCACATGGCCAAGAACGCGTTCAGCAATCCCGGCAATTGTGGCCTCCTCTCTGTTGCGTATACAGGCCGCCATCTCATATTTATGGCACCCGGTTCCATGGTTGCTACCGCATCATCCACCTTTTATCCTCTACCGTGTGCAGACCGATGGTTTTCATCCGTCCTTGGTTTGCGCACGAAGGGCTTGTATACATCCCACATGGCTCAATCGAGTAATAAAAAGCGTGCTCTGAGGCGACAGTGGTGCCGCGAGGCATTGTCCAGGCATATCCGTACCACCCCTAGAGCCCCCAGATCCTGCCGTACACTGATAGACCTAGATAACCGGCTCGGCTTGCGGATCGACCCGAACGAAGTCCGCTTGCAGCCAGCTCCACAGGACGGGTATGTCTGGTCCGTTACCGACTCCAAGGCGCATCTTTTGGAGACGCCCCTGAGCAATGGAACCGTTGGTCTCTATGAGGAGATATGCCGTGCGCTTGGACATTCGCTCGAAGCCGTCCGTCCGGCAGTTCTGCAAGCGGACCACGATGATCTGGAATTAAATGAGAATGTAAGACGTCTAATGACGATAGCCGTCTCTACCCGTGGCATATGTCACACAGTATTTCAGGGCTGATGGAAATGATTGGGCAGACCGAAAATGAACCGACCCCGACGCCTGAAGACGATTCCTTTACCGCGACTATTCAACGCTTGGAGCAGGAGAATCAGCACTTCGATGACGAGAACGAGCGTCTTCGTGATCGTATGCAAGCATGCTTACACCGGTTGCGAGCCTTTGGAATAAAAACCCGGCATTTGCAGAGGGAAATCAAGCATCAGAAAGAGTATATAGGCGAGCTTGAAGAAGAGATAGCCAGTACGAGAGATAGCATCCGTGAAGCTGCCAAGGTACTAGAAAGGGGGGCCAAGGGGCGAGAACCTGGGGCCTATGCAGTATAGTATTGATATAGTATTCATGGAGTTCAAGTTCTAAATTATGCTTGGCCACTGGTCATATCGCAGCGGGCAAGGCTCCCCGGTGCGATCCGGAAGGGTAGCTAGACATTGTTCACCTCTTTAATATTGTGGCTGGCAATCTTGTTCGTTATAGAGACACACGGCATTAGGTCGCCTGCTCCTCCCGCCTCCTTTAAGAAGGAGTGCTGTAGAATGGTGAGCAAGACGCAGCAAGGTGACTGAACGTGCCAACGTACCTCCAGCAACTCGTTCAGGCGCTTGGTCGTCAGATCTCGAAGGAACTCTGTTGCCAGCGAGCTCCAGATAGGCCTACTCCCCTTCTGATCCATCAGATCGGCCACGATAGCGGCCAGAGCAGTCAGTTTCAACGTGTCGCAGTTCATCTCCGATGGCTGGATCTGGCAGCTGTGTTCCGCACCCGCTGGTAGACTGGGTTAGATGCTCGGATCGTTACCCGGTTTGGGGGCACGAAGACGTACCAAGCCGCACAATCCCATCTTTGTTTAGCAGGATCGCTTTCGAGTCCAGCTTGGCGAGTGCTCTTCCTTTTTCGCGAAGGAACACGATTCCCTGGAGTATCTGCCTCCGTCCGTCAGTGTGACATTTTCCCTACGCCATGGCACATACCGGTAATATAATCTGCGCCAGCTGTGGCTCATTGATGGGCGCCCGGGCGTCTAAAATTTCTCTCACCGACAGCTCGACCGGCTCCCACACCAAGAACAGTCGGTTCTCGTAGTAATAGGCCTCGAGTAATTTGAGAAAGCTCTCGTGGGACAGTCGCTCCACTGTTTGTATGAGATATCGCGTACCAGGCCTGTCAATAGAAAGACGCTCAATGTGGACGATTTTCGATTGGTGCTCTCGATGATGGGCTAGCGCAACATAGCGACCGCAAAAAACCACCGCTCTCTGTTTGTATACGGTCCATGGGTCCTGTTCGTGGCATCCGTCATCACAGGCAGCTGAGTCCGACTTCTGCCTTTTTGTGGGGTTCAATGTTGCCTCGTGAAGGTCCCTTTTCCCTGCCGCCGGTGTGCCGACAGACTGGTACCAGATAGTCCCATGGCGATTGTTCATGGTTTGACTGGAAGAATGACATGTCTTTCAAGAGCGAAGGTGTACTTGATCCTATTTGTATGTGGTTTACCAGCACGTCGAGAATGCCTATGCGGGCAACCCTCAATTCGGGCTCGGACTGGAGTGCATGCTCGGCCCACTGGATTGACACTGCAATCAGAATACTAGGTAGATTGAGTGGGTGTGCAATCAGTATGCTATCTACACCTTATTTCACCGCGAAAGCCTGCCCTGCCGCCTTAGGCCAGCACAAACCCCCCCTCCTGCCCACCATTCTGGTGGATGACTGCGTCTGCAGAATCACATCATCCGTTCCACGTTCTCCTGCCTCGTGCATTATCCTGGTCGCATATCTCATACTAGCCTCCTTTCGGTGGAAGTGATGCGGATCTATGGCTGGTCAATTCACCCGACACAATTTCCTCTTGTCAACCAACCAGCCTACATGATCAAGTTCCGGCTCAGTAGAACTCTTCCCGGTCTATACGTGCCCTTCTCTCCTTTGCGCGCAGGGCCGCGACAGTGTCACGGAGGCCAATCGCGATGATAGCGGCCTGCTCCAGATCGCCGGGACCGGTGGATTCGTCAAAGCATAGTTTCAGAAGGTTGTCGGAATCGGACTGGATCCTTTCTTGTAATTCTTTCAAAAGCAGGTAACAAACCCGGTAGTAAGCATTGAGGCATTGCTGTCGACCCATTGCCTTGACCAATCGTACAATTTCATCCATCTTGGGGAAAAGTAGAGTTCCGGCTTGCTCTCCTGTACCTTGGCCGTGATATAACCACTGAAACCCTAAGAACGGCGTGTTGTCCTGGTATGAGTTTTGTATGAAGGGAATCCCGCGATTTAAGGTGCCGTTAATGCTGCATGCGCCTACAGCTGAAAGGCACGCGGGGTATCTTGTTGACGGCCCAACTGATATAATTTTCAAAAGTGCGTATGTTTTTTGACCAGCCCCGGGCGATTGCAATGGTATCTCCAAGCCCTCAACTTAGATTTCCACCCAGAGCATTTGAGAGTTTCGACGGCAAGGCCGATAGTGATTCCACACGGTGGCTCTTGGCCGAGGTAGCTAGCCATACACAGGCTACTTAAACAGCTCATTCCAACATTCATGTGCACGGAACCTTTCTTTCGGAAGTATTCCCTACATCGAACCCACTCCTACGCCTTATCATACTGTGCCTAATTTCAGGTATGGACATATCTGTAAGTATTGCCTTCCATCGCCTACTATGAACCCGCTAATCGGAGAAGGATGTGCTCCGGACCATCGCCGAACTGAGCAGTCGGGCTGCTCGAGCCGATCGTGACCAGCAGAGGCGGAACTACGATCATCGCTCCACACGAGAGGCGTTGAAGCAAACCACGGCCGACCTCGAGGAAATGGCCAAGCTGGCAGATGTTCTTTACGAGACGAGCCATCGGATGGGCACCGTGATCGACTACCTGCTGAAGGAGCGCGGCGTGAATGGCCAAGAATCGGACTCTTTCGAAATGATGTTGAGTCACGTACTCAACGGGCTGGAGGACCAAGGGGAGGAAGGGAGGCCACGTCTTGGTGATGACAGCGGGCAACAACGTCCGCAGATGGCTCAAGCCACGGGATCTGGCTCTGGTCCGAGAGAGGCTGCGTGAAGGAAAGGGGAGTCCTCGATAGGAAGCCAAATTAGTCGAGTAAGGTTGGCTGGCTGTAACTCCGCCATCTCCAAAACCTGTGCACAAGGAGCAACAAGTATATATTCCAACCGTCCAACCCTTGCCCTTGTATATCGAGGGGAATTGTACGATGGGTAGGATGCGAATTAGAAACTTGCCTGTGTCAAGCAACGAATGGTAAACAGTAAATGGTACATGCCCATTGGCGTTCGAGGCTGCCAAATCAGCCTACAAAGTTGACGTTCGTCGGATTTACCCAAATCACGACCGATGTGCTATCAAGCGCACGTTCACCTCGCGTTGGAAATATTGCACAGAAACAAGAACGTACTTCATTTGGACATCACTGACTGCAATCATATTCCGCTACTATCCCTCCGCTATATTGATCGTTGGCATAGCCGTAGTAGATACAATCCAGTGCCCATCTGCTTGCCTATCAACCCACGCGGCGACCTCTGCCAGTTTACTTTCCAGCTCGGACGCAGACAGCTCCCTGATATGTCTTTTGAACGAGTTTCCCTTTGTCGCTGTGGCTTCTTGCAGTATTTGCTGGTCCAGTCGGGCCGTTAGAGTTTGGTCCGGACGTTGTTGGTGCCAGGTGTGGACCTGCTCGCGAAGAATGGTCCGATTTTCTGGAACATAAAACACAAATTCCGGTCCCAGTCCGTTGAGGAACGATTCGATTGGGCTGATGCCCCCCTGTAAAAAGGAGTCGTTCGATCCTGCTGGCTCTTGTAATAAAAACGTCTTCGTCTGCCGTCCCGGAATCTCCACGTCCACCCTCAAATCCCACCCTGGCATCTGGAAGGATTCCAGTCCAAACAGCCCGCTCACCTGAAAGGCGTTGGGCCAGCTAGAAGGGCTGCGTATGTCCGGTAGCATATCCGCGATGCTGGGAGACACTGAAGGATCCCCGGAGGTGCCTTGATCGGGCATTGTATGGTCGGGCGTCCCGGCTCCATCGGATGCCGGCGCATCGCCCCAGGGGCTCTCAGCGGCCTGGCTATGTGCAACATTGCCATGGAGGTAACCGAAAAAGGCCTGGAACTGCGATCGCCGTACAAACTCTGCCGTGATGTGCGGGCTATCCCAGCGCTCCCACAACCGGTCTTTTTCCAGGGCGAACCGGTCGGCATCAACCGTGTCAACATACGGGACTCCGCGCCGTCGGGCAACGGGTTCATCGCAGCCCGGGTTCAGGTTCGGCACCGCATCGCGTGACTGTGGTGTCGGCAGGGACACGGCCTGCGGCGCTAGATCGGGCCGGCTGGGGACGGTGAATCCTTCTTGTTCGGCAAGCCAGAAAAAGTGGCGCACCAGCGTCGTTCGGCTGACCCATGTTGGTTCATTTCCGGCATGCAGCGAGTCGGGCAACCGCTCCGGCTTCCGTGGCTGACGCAGGCGGCGTGCGGTTCCCGCTATTTCCAAGCCATATTGGAAGCAGAACCGCCAAAGCTCCTGCAGGCCCTGCCGAGTTTGCTGGGAGAGGGCCTCCAAAGACTGGCTTGTGCCGGCCGAACGCTGCCCGCCTAGTGCCTCATCGATCGTGACTTTGCCCGTCGATCCCGGCTCCCGCAGGCAGAGAAGCTCCTGCATCGCCTTGCGCGCCCCGCCCAAATAACGAAGATCCTGGAAGAACGTGCGTAGGCTGGGAATCGGGGTGTCGATCGACTGTAGCCGAGCCCAGATGGCCTCTCGTGTCTCGTGGAGAGAGATCGATTGAAACAACGTCCGGTCGGTCATCATTTGTTTTTCCAGGAACGCCTTATCCTGCTGCGAGATCTGGGGAACGCGCGATTCCATCACGCGAACGGTGTGGGCGTCCGCAGCGCCGGCCAGCGCGGCATCGCCGCCCAGGATTTGGTCAACCCACATGCTGCGGATCCGCTCCAGATAGAATAGGATGGGCTGTACCGTCTCTGACTTCAGCAGCGGCATTATTGAACGAGCACAGGCCCACATACCTCATCGCAGTGCAGAGAAACCATGGTGTGGAGCACCCCAAGATGCATGCAAGCCCACAGGCCCGGGATGGGAAGAAGGGCATCAAAGGCCCGAGGAAGGGTTGGATGTTTAAAGAATGCGGCGACATATCGATGCTTCCTACTCCTCGGGTCGTGCTGCAAAATAGCCCACCACGCCGCGGCCGCGTGTTCATCGCGGGGCGGGCCGAGATGCCCTTCGTATAACCGAAGCCGCTGATAGATTAACCCATCAGGGGGCTGACGCTCGTTCGGAAAATGCTCCCGTAGGGAGCGCACGAGGTGGGTGTGGAGCCAAGGTTCGATCGTTGGCTGACCTAGGGCAAAAAAACCGCATTCCACTTACTACTAGTACGTACAACGAAGCTACAGCCATGCGCCAGGGAGGCGGGAAACGGGTGCTTCAGACCAGCGATGCAGGGGGAACTTACCTGGATCCTCCACGTATACATCAACCACCCACCACCGACTCGGTCCGGATAGCATCTTTCGTGCCGCTGCGACAATGCTTTCGTGTCCCTGGGCGCGGAGTAACATATTCAGAGGCACAGCCAATTCCGGGAGCAACTCGTCTTCGCTATCATGCATCTTGATGCTACGGCCCCAGTCGGCCGCATCGACCAGCACCGGCACATGGTAATCCCGGTTGATGCGAAGACAGCCTTGCAACTCGAGAATCCGCTCGAGCCGGACGGTATTGCGGCCGTCATCCATCAGGCGGCTGAACCCCTTCTCAAACCCAAGGCAGTCTAGACGGACTCGGGCGCTTCCACGAAATCGTTCCTTCCGGTAGGCTTCCAGAGCCTTTTCCTTCGATTCGACTTGGGCCTGGCGTGTTAGGTACATGCTGCCTGTACCTGGTCCCAGGAATCATCGCGACCGGGACAGGAATATTTATGGCATCCGAGACGGGCTGGCTCCGTGCTCTAGGGATTTCGATCTATCGCGACTGTCCATCATCGTCCCATGAATTTGATGGCGGTAGTCTGTATACTGGCGCCAATGTCGAAGCGAGACTAGCGTATTGAAGCTTCAGCATCTGTGAAGGTGATGGGAATGATGAAACGTGAGGGGCCCATATCAGGGGTGATGCTCTGTGCGCGCGCTCCCCCGGAGAGAGTTGGGGGACTATGGGCATCCAGGTTGGCATTATCGGTATAGGAGGAAGAAAATTGAGTGTGAGCGAGATGGAGATATCTCTGCATTGCCCTAATGCCCGCCATGGCCGAGGCAACAGCAACGTGCACCGGGCAACGTGGTGAAGATCCATTAGTGCGCTACAGGACAGTTGGAGGAGGTGTAACTAGCCTGTGGCCCAGAATGTAGTAGAATCTGTGAAGGTGTTCGCCTAATACCCAGGCAGATGCCCATCGATGTTTTTTTGTTCTTTTGTTTTCTCCTCTCTTCCTTTTGCACTACTATCGGTCGTAGTCGTCGCCCATAGATCCGGTCGGTATAGAATCGCTATAAAAGAGAAGGTTTCAACACCGATTCCATCCACCGCCCACTCCTATGCTTGGCGACATGACGTCTACCGGATCTAGTGAATCGGACGGCGAAAACGCAGAAACCTGGCCTTATTCAGCATCGAGCACCGCCGTTTCATCGGAAGACAGCGACGACCGCGATTTTGTGGTTTCTGATTCTGAGTCGCTCTCGTTCCGCGACAGTAGGGCTAGCTCGCCAGGTAGGAGCGTGCCTCGATCTACTTGCGATAACGACGATGCCGACCCGAAGCCAGTATATCCCCATCAACTCTGATCGTGTGCTTCCCGTCACTAAAGAAGATGCTAGTGTCTCCCCACCGGGCCCCTGATACCTATCAAAGTGATCGCGAAACGGTCAGCGGGTTGTGATGGTCACCACTCCGCCCAATATCTCGTGTTGTGGTATTCTTGGGAAGCTGCCGGCGATGCCTTGGCTGCAATCGAGAATCTGCAGGAAAACAATATCTGAATACCATGGTTGGTAATCGGCCCATATCAATAAATATATATATATATATATAAAACTGTTTCTTTCAGGGTTTCGCCAGTGTAGACTAATCATGCTTGATTCTATCCTCATACACTACGTAAGCAACCACTACTGTATCTTAGGGACAATCTGCTATCCACAACATAATTGATGTAGCGCCGGCGTTTGGCCATGTAGGTATTTCAGTATATTATACCATTGGCCATCGATTGAAGGCTATGCAATCTCTTGTGGCCAGGCTGCCAGCCGATGTCGGCCCACCGACGGATGATCCGGTGACATCCCCGCTATAAACGCCATTTCTTGCGCTCTGGAGGCGGTTCCTGGAATTGCACAACCCGCTTGGTCCCTCTCGCGCAATAGCACCTTCGCCGAGGTGGCCATCGGTCGGTTTGGTGGTCGGACCGACCAAAGACCGCGTCGGCTTGTTGCTGGTGGAGGAACTGCTGCACGGTGGCTGGAAATCCCCCGATCGGGTGCTGGTGGGAGGAGCCGCTGAAAAGGACCGTCACTTCTTCATCCAAACTGCCGACAGGGAATCGAACCCGTTTGCGATAGTACCCGCAGACTGTACATCCGTCGTCCTCGCCCACTCGACCCAACCCATCGCCCCGGAGAGTGCAGACCTCGGCGCCCGGGAACTCCACCAGCACCCGCTCCATGATCCGTCGTGCCTGCCGTCGCGCGCACAGGATGGACCCCCGGCAATAGTACTGACCCCGGATGAGGGTAGGAGCCTCGTCTAGTTCAAAGAAAAAACACGTAGCCAACACCGCTCGGACCAGCTCGTCTGGTACTCGGTACGACCGGCTCGTCAGCGCCGCCAGTTGTCCGACATCGTCCAGCCGGGGCAAGTTGCCGTCCAGGGCATGGTCCAGCCGGAACGTACGAAACCGCATGGCGTGTGGAACATGGTTCAGGCCTTCTTTGTAGGCTGCAGTCCCGTCCATACACGGGGACGAGTAGTACGCCCGCCACAGACGAAGAGGGGCCGTGTCGTGGAGGCTACGGCCGGCGTGGCTGGGGGAGGCGTTCGAGTCCGCCGTCGATGGGATGTAGCCTGTTCCGACGGAGACGAGTAGATCATGCGTCCGGGCCGACGGCCAGACCCGGCGACATTCGGCCTGCGCGATTCCATGGGGGTTATTGGCGCGGATTCCCCCGTCCTGGAAGGGGCCGAGCCCTGGGAGAAATTTGGAGTGGAAGAACCTAAAGCCGAAGTGAGCACGCTAAACCAGTCAAGGAAAGGGTGGAGTCAAGGAAAGAGTGGAGGTAGATCATACCCAGGAGCCGCCACGCTACATCCGAGACTTGGCACCCATCGTTAGCCTGTGACGCGTTTGAGGGACAGGATGAAGCCACTCACACGTCCGACAATAAGGGATTCTGAGTCCTATCTTGATGCATCATGGCCTGGTATCCCGAATCGTTGTCCATCCGCCCCACACCATGATAGTTGGGGAAGACCACAGGCTTGCCGTCGGATGTCCGGCTAACGACAATTGCGAGACGACGGCCCCCGACCGGTGTCGCCCCTGCGTCAAATACTCGACGAGTTGGTCCGCAAACAGTCCGAATCGTTTGATCAAGCGCGGCTGCGTCGTACAGGCCGTCGTTGTAAAGGCCTATGACGACTCTCATCCAGGACCATCTACCCAGCGGAATACCCGAGGTCGGAAACACTTTCCGTGCAAAGCCAGGGAACTTCCGGTAGGCATCTGCGGCGGAGATACTGTTGTGCACGATATCTGTCCCGATGAAGGCACCTGGCATGAGTTAACGATGGTCAGTCACAACTTGGCGGCACGACCGCCGTAGCGGCGACGACGGTGATCTCCGGGGCTGACCTACCTACGCTGACGCCGGCCGTCAGATCAGGAATGTCGGATAGTACGATACTGCCCGCGAGCCGTCTCTCCAGCTCTTGCAGGAGGCCGAGGGTGATAATGCCACGGATCCCGCCTCCATCCAGTGCGAGCACGACGGGCCGCTTGGTCGGTGGTAACTGCCGAACCGTGCGTTCGACCACACCCTGACACAGGTGACAGTGCGAGAGATCGTGGTGATATTCGGCTCCGCGGGTCGGCCGTCCAAAGATGACCACGCAGGTATCGCAGAGCGCATGTCGACAAGGCAGCTGGTGTTCCGCGGGTCGGCCGAGACAGAACAGGCACATCGTGGGTAACGTGAGGCCGGGCCACTGTGCGCCGAAGCACCTTAGTGCCTCTTTCCGGATTGTGAGCGAGGTTCTCAGGGGGCCCATCTGGGCGAAACTGTCGATGAACGCATCCCGAATAGCGTCACCATGTTGGGCCCAGTCTGGGCCTTCGCCCAGTTCCGGTGCCGTCAGCCAAAGATCCCGATACAAGCTATCAAAGACGTGCTGGGGTCGGAAACCTAGATGCGTCAGTGGTCGTGTTCGGCGCTATCAGCCGCCGAAACAGGCACGATGGTCAGATGCACTTACGATGCATCCCTGGAGGGTAGGCGTCCATCAGGAGAGCCGACGCTACAAACTGACGGAGGTCGTGGATCGGACACCCGATCTTGCACGCCTCCCCGAGCAGCTCCGCGAGGCCATCGTGGAACGCAAACGGGACTGGCAGCCGTTCCCGAGCGATGGAGAGACAATTGATTCGGGTAGCCGGGTGTAGAAGACTTTGCCCAAGGCACCTATTCCACATGAACTTGAGATGAACGGCGGAGAAGAGCAGCCCCTGCTGTATGAGCTCCGCCCGGCTGTCCTGAAGCCCGTCCAGTAGGAGACGCTGTAGTGGGGCATAAAGGGCAGAGGGCGACAACTGATGACGACCGCGCAGGTCTAGGACCGATAGTGTCGGTCGTTCCTCGCCCGCGACGTCTGAACCGGGCAACTCCGTCTCCACCGGGTCGGCGTTGTAGGTCGCGGTTGGCTCCGTCAGGATCAATATGATTCGCACCGGGCCTGGTTTTTCCGAAGGGCTAGCATGAACACCTTCGTGGGTTGCCGCCAACCAGCTGGTCACGGTCTTCAACTCGTTCTCTCCGTCCACAAAGAAGCACGCTACGTGCGTCCACGGAAACACCAGTCTCGTGAGGAGGTGGTCTTTCATGTCGCACGGCGTTTCGAACCGGCCTTGCCGAACTGGGTACCGTCGAGAACGGTCGGCGGATGGCGCTATGGTGGACCCGTCAATCGTCGGTGGGCGGGCGAAACTGCTCTCGGTGAACCACACTGGATGCTCGGTATTGGCGGTCGTGGTACTGAGATGCAACCGGACCAGGCCAGCTGGTCCTCGTCGGGTAACATTGTTCTGGGGAAAGAGCGCACGCAGGGCTGCCACCCGACTGTCATTGCCCAGGAACGAGAGGACAGACGGGTACTGTGTGGCGGGATGGCTCATGTCCTGCACGATGTCATCCATCCGGCCCGTATCGACCAGGGACCAGCCCGCTGCGTCGTCGTGTGAGAGGCCTAACCATGCTGCCATGGTAGTCCTGTGGTAGCCAGCTGCGTCCATCTCGTCTCCTGGCTTCGGCTTATATACTCATAGTGAAGACAGATCAAATACACACCGTCTTGGTCGGATGATCAGGTTTCAATGGCTATGAACTGATGGCGCCCACCAAATGTAGGGACTGGTACGCGGACCAGCCGTGAAAGGCCATCAGTTGCCGTCAACCCTCATTTTCCCAGGGCGGACAATACCTTGGTTGCAGTCAATGAGTCAAGCAGGCAAGGGAAGATATTCTAGATTGAATCTGGTCCCCCCATCGGCAGGCGAGTTTATTCTCTCGCCTCCGCTGATTTTTGCTGGGCATTCGCACGGTTATCTTCTTTGGACCACGAACATGGGTCCGTTTGTTGCTGGTCATGTACGGATGAATGCCTCCCCCCGGGATCAGCCAGACCGTTCAGCCAGACCGATCAACCAGCCCTACTACAGGACACACTCCTAGCGGCCTAGTGAGGTAAGAAACGTCATATAAATATGCTCTCCGAAGCCAGCCCACAATGCAAGGGCGGTATATTTTCACGCCCTGCTGCGAACGGCCGTCATACCAGAATGAGTTTCGCCAACAAGGCTCTTCATCGCGATGGCGCGATCCTCGTCTCGATCCATCTGGTTGGGCTTTCCTACTTCCTTTTCTTCCTCGTCTCCTTCTTGCTTTGGCATTTCCCAACGTCGCCAGGCACTATTGTCCAAGCACAAGCTGTGACTCTGTACAGTAGCGGCGTCATACTTTGGTGCCTATGCAGCTTGGCCCACCGAGTCAGAGGGACACTCTACGGGAGCCAGGCCGTATCCTGGCTCAAGCTCGAGCAGGCCGGCACCCTATTCCTGATCTATACCACGACCGTTCCATTGGTGATCTTGTCATCTGACCAACACGGCTACCTCCGTCTCGCATACCTCTTTTGCTTCACCATTGCCGTCGTTGGTACCATGACCGACTTTCTTTCCTACCACTTATACTTTTGCCAATTCTGCCTGGCACTAGGTTCATTTGCACTACTGCCACCGATCTATATCCTCCGTCAACCTTGGGCTCTTCCATCGCCACTCGTCGTCGGGCTGATACGGCTTGCTGGCTGGAACCTTCTGGCGGGGCTCGGCTATCTGGCAAGGGGTCCGGAGAGATTGGGTCTGGTGGGCGAGTGGAAGCCCAGCCTCTATCTGATGCATCTTGCTGTGATCCTGAACAGCATATCGTATGGCAGGTACATCTGGGACGCGGCGATCTGAGCTTGCATTGAAGAATATCGGCATGGGGCTCCAGATGCGGTCCAGTATTCCATGTGAGCGGACAGGGCGGTCTTATCCTCTTCGTACCAGGTTTGAGCAAATATCATCCGCCCCTATCCATCGATGTATCTACAATCCATGCTCTATCGCTACATATAGTACAAAACAAAGTACAATCATCCAATACGAACCCTTCTGCTATTCTCGCTGCGTCAGTACGTTGCCCGTGTGTCGCGAAGAAAGTCCCTAGCCCCTAGACCCTGCTAGTCACCAACAATACAATATCATCCCCCGGGCCGAGTGTTCGCGCGAGGTTGAACCGGAGGACTTCTTGGAACTTCTTGTGGGAAACGTTTTGTGTGCGGCTGATTCGGTGCTTGGAACGCCATGGCGAACAGATATGACTGGACTAGGTACAGGGGGCACACACAAGACCTGTGGAATCGAGGCCACAAAAATGCCCATTCTTTGCTCCTCTTATTGTGCCGTAGGGTCGACCGAGATGGTTGATTTCATGCCGAGCTCCAGAGAGCACTTACCAACAAGGGCGGTCGGGAGGTGCATTCGGGCGCTTCTCTCGGCAGTTTTAACTTCATGGATTAGCGACGGTCCAACAACATTAGAGGTTGCTAGGGATTTATCGAGTTTCTTTTTGCCCTGGAAACACGTGCCCAGGAGGTCCATAGAAGTATAAGACCTCGGGCGGCTATCTTAAATCCATACATAGGACTTGTGGCCGCAAATGTACCGATCCTTTGTCGTGTAACCCCGATTTGTTGCCAGATAGGATGACCAAATTCCACCATTACCAGCATCCCTTGCTGCGTCGGGCCGACGTGGGCAACTGCGCCGCTGGGCAAAAATAATCGGGCGCTCATGATCAACATCGCCGGTCACGGCTAGCGACGCATGTTCAGAAAATCGGGCATTTGAGTAATTTTGCCCCCGAGTCTGATCCGTAAGAGATCCCCTGTGGAAGGATTGAACCACCTACAGCAGGATTATTCTTGATGCTTTGCATGTCACGATGAGGGTATACTAGCGAGGGTGGTTCGTATGGCTAGGCCCACATAAGCAATACATCGTTGCGGATCTCAGGCGCGAACGTGATCTACCAATACCAACTAACAACAGGCAATCCCCTAGTGAATAGGCCATCTTGTACTCATCGCCCTCGATATACGCCCAGGCCCTAGGGATGCATAGTAATCGAGAATCTCATTTCAGGTCACGCCTGCAGTAGTACATTTTAGTAACACCGTAACTGTTGTTGATTAACTTATCGTACCTTTTCCGCGTTGGTTTTTCCACAAATTCTGGCGACGGAGCTAGTGACCGCCATTGCCTTTCCCTCTCCGCTTCCCAATGCAGAGTCCGAGAGGGACCGGCCTCGATGTTGGTTTCGTGGGTTGGGCGATCCACCTCATTCGCCTGCACCGCATGTTGTAGTCGCTCTGCAAGCCGTCGCGTACGACAGAGACATCTCAGTTGAGCCATTTACTCGACGCATGCGGTTAAATGGGAGACAAGGACCATATAATATCATGTGGACCACCTGTTGGATTTTATGTGTGTCTATTTACATCATGCTGTCGAGCGGGCAGATGACGGTAGAGAATAATCGTCAGTTTTACCCTCACCATGTTAGTCAAACGCATAAAGATGGCCACGATGGTTGAAACCCTGGAGACCCGGGGAATACCAGGCCGTGAAAAGATGATGGCAACAGCCCACCTCTTGCCCATACCTTGAGTATCCGGTGAATCGAGCGCATCACTTATCAACGTGATGCTCTACGCATAGAGTGTGTTTCGTCACTTGGTGTGTCATGACCATGCAAAAATGCGCCGTGTATGTGTAGGCCATTCTCATGCTTTGCTCGCTGGTGTATTCTCCCCTATGCTCCGAAGCAATCGTGGTATTTATAAGAAGGCACGACGTCCTACTCGAGAGCCGTGTTCATGACAAGACTTGCTTCTTTTCAGCAGCACATAGCTCCAGTCATGCATCACTCGATGAATGATAACTATCAATCCAAGCGCAAGCGCAGATCCGAGTCGCCGCCGCCCCGAAGGGACAATGATTTCCGGGCCCCACCGCCTCGAGTTCAACCATTGCCAAAGGTAAGGTCGCCCGACACGAGCCACGGAGACATCCGCTGACCACATTGACCTCAGTCGGCCGATTCTCCCACCAAGGACGCGAAAACGGCGTCAACCGCGGAGCTGTTTAAACCTTTGGCCGAGGAGCTGGAGCGGCTGGATAAGACAGATCCCGTTCTGGCCGCACAGGCGGCACGCCTCGTGGCCCTCTATCGGCGCATTTGGGATTCCTACATCTTGAAGCACGCTGATAGCCAGCGGCTCGAGAACGAGAATCGCCGACTGGAGACCAAAAACGCGTCTCTCGAGAAGGAGAAGCGCGACATGGAAGGTCGCTACGAGGAACAGAGGACGCTCCTAACCCACTTCCAAAAATCGTTCGAAAGTGTTCAAGACGGGATCACTAGGATTTGCGATAGCTGGAAGGATGCCCCGGCCGTGCTGCTGGAGGGCAGAGGTGAGGGTCGGCCGGTCGGAAACGACGGCCACGCCCCGGCTGATTCTCCCTCTGTCACTCCAGCTGCCAATCAAAAGGCCCCGGCTCCCGCCTCGGTTCCAGTTCCGCCAAAAGCCTGAACTCCTAGGTGGAGTATCTATAGAGGTTGGCTACGGTTGGTTGTAAAGCGAAGGTGATTGTGTATGGTTGAGCCTGGGGATAGTAGATAGACCTTGTTTCAGTCCATTAGTCCATTGCGCTCTCCAAATGTTGCTTAGCTTTCTCTGAGGTCTGGGACTGCCGCGTACATAACATTACATTCACCGACTGCCAGTTAGCACCCTAGGCAACCGTGTCCATTGATTGTTGATTTTGCCCTCTAAACCCTTCCAAACGAAGCAGTATGATATGCGTCTGGACAGAGGTCCAAGCGATTCATCGGGTGGCTGTGTCTCGCAACAGCACGCCCGTCGAAGCAAGCGAAGACATGTAAACCGTGACGGATATCCGACACGGAAGTAGCAAGCATTTGCACCTGCGAAGACTTTATATTAAGTTTGCCAGACCCGGTGGAGATGGGAGAGGGATACTCCGACCGCAGGGGCCCATTTGTGGAGTGACAGACCCCTACCAGCGCCAAAATTGTTAAAAGATGGCGGCTATAGCCAACATATAGTACACTGCATGCATCAAATGTGGATGAGATCAGTGACAACTAGGCGTCACCGCGGCGAGGGAGGGTAGTGCCTGATAGGTCCTTGTGTTCACGGCGTTGCCAGCTACGATACGGATAAGGAGTCATTGGAGTCCATTATGGTCGCAAACCGTACGAGAGGAAGTGGGTACGAATATACTGCGGCTAAGTGCTCATGTTTGCCAAACACAGCTCTTGAGAACTGCAGTTGGACTCATACGCTTCCCGGTCCCATGTGATTTATTCCTGCTAGTATTAAAGCTGAATCGGCAGTTCTTTCCGCCAGCGGGTACCCTCCTCGTTCTGCAGGCTGGAAGGTAGAGGAGCTACACTAGATGATCGGATTTTCCTGCCTCTCTGATGCTCTAGTACTTCGTAAAGCATAAAGCCCGGCAGACATGTACGCCCTGACCACCCAATCACCCATATCTTCCTGCGAGTATGTACTGTGTCAATTGCTGGCGTCATCACCTGGATTACACCTATAAACGGTAGGAGTACATTACTTCAACACGAACTTCACGGACTAATCTTAGGGTCATTAGGTTTATATGTAAGCATTATTCAGGGCAGACAGGGTGTGTGACCCAAACGGTGACATCGATGAATTCCTCACGGTATTCCTCCGGTCACCGTCCTGGCTGAATGAGCAACTGGCATCGCTGGATGGCGTCGATTCGGCCTTAAGCATTCCGGCTCCGGACCACAACAGTCGCGTTTACAGTGATACACGGTCCAGCGATGCACCATGCGCCGTGCCGATAATGCCGTCCATGCGTCTATCATGTCAGACTACGCGTATGTATACAATATCCTGTTCCCAGAACTTGAAAATATTATTTTCATACTCCAGACCCGACAAGACGATCACCAAGAAAGAGACCCGGAAGACAACCTACAAATAGCACAACGCCATATGTTGATTTCGTCGCCAGTGCGCCGTTCCTGGAAAACCAGCTCCGTGAGGCTCGTATGAAGCGGCGAATGCTTGGCCAGAGAGGAAAACAATCTACTGCCGAGTATAGGACGCTCTCCGGGGAAACCGACCAGGTCTTGGCAAGTATGCAACCGATTCGGCTGAGGCCACGACGGAAGAAGCATAACCCTACAAGAGTTCAATTGCGCATGAGACTCTGGAGAACGAAAGGAGCCATTTAATCATGATGTATGTAAGTGGTCGGTACGGAGGCCTATTGATTCTCTGGTACATTGGAAGATTACAGTATCGAGGAATCAAGGTTCTTATTTCCTGCCTAACGAGCTTGTCGGCATTCCACAAAGTTCATTTACCGGAGCAGGAGACTTTGGCTGTAGTTGCGTATTGCTGTGGCTGATCCCTGGCTCTTTCACCCGTCCGCTTGCTGGTAAATCCACAGTCGATTGAAGCCAGGGCCCTTGCTGTAGAGCCTTTCGTGCGCCCGCACAGCCAGTACGCCGCCGTGAACATATGCCACGGGCTGGGTACTGCACCGAGGCTTTCCGGTGTCTGCAGTGATAACTCGTAGAACGACGGCCATGGCAGCGCTCACATCTTAGTTTCTCGACAGCGGCTTTTTGGGTATCATCACGCATGAAGCTTGAATGTTCCACTGCTGCCCGCCTATGGGAGGAACCCACGCCGACTGTAACATTATAACTGATCTTGGGGTCATCCAGGCCATCGTGATCTTCAGCTGAAGCAGTCCGATACACCCGTCTACAGGTGGCGCACAGTTAGCATTGGGACCACGTGAAAGGGCAGGCCTCATACTTGCGTCTGGGCCATAGCCAGATACGACGAAACCAATTCATAATATAGAGAAGCCGATATTCATTGGATACTTCTGGAGTGGCTTGTAGCTCTTTCATGACATGTCAGTGGAAGCCACGCCAATATAATAGGTTTCCTTGCTTATGTTTAACTTTGCTGAGCCTTTTGTTAATAGCACAGGCTTCTATAAACCGTTTATCGCGGTATTTACCTGTTCATATCGCAGACTTTCTCGAAGGTACGTGTGCGCCCAAGCTTACTCTGTTCAGTATTTTCCTGTCTGATAGACAGGCCCAGCAAAGGCTCTTTTATCCAAACCTATTCTTCCTTACGGCCCCATACTAACAAATATGTCAATAACATTGAATTAGCCTTGCCATCATGGTTCTGTTTGTTCTGGGGTTGCCCAGTGACTAGCCCAGCAATGCCTATCAATAGGCGTATGCCCTTGTCCCACTGTACCTCAGTTATATGGCACGTCATCCTTTCCAACACGAATGCGTATATTAACCCCGATGTAAAGTCAAGTCCCAAATGGGCTATGGTAGGCCGCCAGCCACAATCCTATTGTAGACTTGGTTCTAACCGTATCTATTTCCGCTCAGTTCGATACCTTGTGAGACATGCGTCTTACTACATAGGCGCGATTAGTGTTTTCGGCCACTGTAATTCCCATTTTGTTCGGCTCCAGCAGAGTCTGCTGTACACCAAAAGCTCTCACGGTAGGAAACGTGCAGACGCCTTGCATAGTCGCCGCGAAACGCTTGGAGGCATCTCCTGAGATTTAGACGTTTATTCCGTGTATTGTATTTTCCAGCCCTTGATGGGCATCATCGTCTGCCGAAAATACTAGAAGCCCCACATCATCATCATCCACCACACCAGGGTGGGCATTCATCTGTCTGAGCCGTTCCACTCCGGTTAATTTGCTTGCGTATGTCTTGCACGCCGGCCCCCACCACCCAACTGTTACCCACGCAATCTTCGATCCAATGCACCTGGTGATGCCAAGGCCAGGCGGTATAAGGTGATAAGGCAAGCAAAAGACATGGCAGATAGAACTGGAACCAACTGCTCACCACTGAACGTTGTTCGCCTAACTCAGGCAGTAAAAGTTGGACTGGAGGCTGAATGATAATATCATAATGGGCATCCGATAAACAGCCGCATATATATATCTAAATTGAGAATTAGACCATGGTTAAATGCGAGAATCGAAGAACATGCCACTTTATTATCGCCGGGCATATTTGCTCGCCTGCAATGACCTTCCCGGAGTCTTATGCGTTCACTCCAATTGCCCAGGTCGGCTCGTTATAATACAGTACCGTCATAAGCACTGCCTAGCTTTGTTTCACTTGACATCTGAGACTAATCGCTCTTGTGGGGACTTGGGGAGATAAAGATAAGATCTCGGATGGTACGCGTTACTTTGCCTAGGCTCTCTTTTGACCTATTTCCTATCGACTCCGTAAAGATTGACTATGTCCTCGTCCTTCCCAATCATTGATTGCGAATCCTGGCCATGCATGGGTCTATTTTGTAAGTAGTTGTTGGTTGATATACTGCAAAAGCACAAATTGTATAGGAATTCAATCGCTTGGCTGCTTGAGTCTTTAGAGCCAAACACTTGTAATACTGTACATAATGCTTCTTGGTTCGAGGCTCGAATCGTAGAATTCCATCGGGCAAGATCTTTGCTTTAGAAAGGAGGAGCTTGTTTCCCTTATTATTCCATTCACAGCAGGGTTAACCTCCCGTGTGGTATACTTTCAAATGACCAGAACTAGAAAGGTTCATCGTCTGTGCCCTGCAGGTCCCATGCCAAGCCAACTCGATTTCGTCTCGCTCCAGACCTACCCAAGGACTATTCTAATCAGATCAGATTAGTCGCTGCTAATACCGCTCTAAATTAGGCTGCCGTGATGTATAAAGGCCATCCAAGTGTTTTCTTTTGGCATGGTGGTCTCACAATTTATGGGGACGCGCTGTTGTGTCTGGGCAACTGTTTGTCCCCTCTAACAAAGCCAACACCTCCCGACTCATCTCGCGCGGGCTTCCCTCATTCTGCCCTCGATGCTTCGGTCTTTCCAATTCGCCTGCAGTGATCCACCGGCGATCTTCACCCTGTAGCCACTCCACAACATGGTCTGCTAGGCGTTGGGGATGTTCCATCGGAGCAAAATGCCCTGCGTCATTGATGACGGTCATGTTAACACGCCCTGTTACCACCCCGCCACTTCCACCCACGCCGGTTCCGGTCTTCTCCGTGATCACAGTCCGCATCTCTCGGGTGACAAGCTGCGAGCCCTCACAGAATGCGTACATGGTCGGTGGTCGCAGGTGTGGGAGATTATGAAATGTGATGACCGGTTCGGGGCGATAGAACAGGATCCGTTCATCGTCAAGTGCCTCGAGTGCAAGATCCGGACAGAGTACACGACGGTCTGTTGTCGATTTCGGGGCGAGAATGGGTCGAACAAAGGTGGACAACTCTTGACTTTTGGGGGTCGTCAAAACCACTCGCGGCTCGGGGCCAGGTGGAGCATCACGGAGGCCATATTCAATCCATTTACCAAATGCCCGTGGATCCCATGATTGGAACAACTTGCTGCGCTGAAAGTGGGCTACAGCCATGTCCTTGGTGGGAAAGGTATCTCGACGTCGCAGGGATACTAGCGCCGCCGGGTATCGACCCTGATCCGCCCCGGAATAAGGAAAAACAATGGGCTCTATTAGGAAAAGACCCTGCAGGATCCGGGGGTGCATAAGGGAGAGATGGATCAATTGCGTCGCTCCCATACTGTGCCCAAGGCCAATGATTGGCTGCGGAAGGCTGTCTCGGAAATGGTTCATCAGGAGTAACAGGTCCCGAGAATGGTCAAAGGCGGAAGCTGGTATGAAGCTGCGGGTCAATGGGGAGGAGCCGTCAGCAGGGGAAGGATTAAGCGAAACATACGATCATTTCCCAAGCGTTCCTCGTTTACCAGACCACTGACACCCTGGTTGGCCACGTCGGCCATCCAGATACCACGAATCGCCAGCCCGGATTTACTGGCTGCCTGATAAATGCCCACCCAAAACGGCTCATACGCTTCCTGGGGTTCCGTTAGCACTGTGAGGGAATGGGATGGGAATAAGATCACCTTGGGTACTCCATTCGCATGCGCGGAGACGATGCTCACCGCGCCAGGGGAAGGATGTAGGTTATCCCACGGCACATATTGCTTCACAGCAAGGTATAAAACGTCCTCCTGGTTGACAGCCGTTGCCTGGGGATATTCCCGTATATGCTGGCTAGGGACCGTGTGCTGAAGCACTTTGAATGTGTCGGAGATGTCGGAATCGGTCTTTGTAGAAGCCATTCTTATGATTCGGAGGGCTCTTCTTGTCTTGTTCCTCCTAGAGTATGGCGGTCACCAATAGGAAACAGATGATATTAGTTGGCCGTAGGTCTGCTTTAAATCTATTCTGTATTCACGAAGCTTGCCGGGCGGGGCTCCGGGTTTTCAACATTCTGTACTGTTCAATCCTTGACTACGTGTATGGTAACGCAAAATATATCGTCTGCAATTGGGTTACAGTACCAAGCGCATTCTATTCGTTAGAATAATCGTCGTTCTCCTTCCCGCTGTCTTCGGAATGTCAGACTTATGGGAGTGACCGGTCGATACGTGGTTATTAAACGGAGTGTCGAATGCCCCATGGTCAATTGGTCAATTCAGCTTGCCCAAGGCCGGCCTTTGTTTCCAATTACCAAATACAGGAACATTTATTGTTTAACGCTCGGCCCGATATTGATACCTCAATTTTTACCCCAGACATTGCACATTGCGTCTATTATACTGGGCTTTACAAGGCAGCGGGATAAGACAATCCGTTTTCATTGACTATTTCGATGATGTTATGTCCCGCCCGTTAAGCAATCATTGCCACTGACGCCCGCTTTGTTGATCATTTGTTTTACGGCTATAAGGGTGATAGGCATGCATGTATTTCAACCGCTTTCTCTGATGCACTTTGATGCAAGTAACATGGGAGAAATTCGGTGACGCATAAACTTGCTTGAGAATCAGACGGTCCAAAAAGGAGCATTCTGGATGATGCTGGATATTTCGCTAATCTTTCCTAAATCCTGGACTGGGTTATCCAAGGCGCAGAAGCTGGCGACCTATTATTTAAGTAGCTTCTACGAGCGTTGGTGATGTTTCTAAGAACATCTGTATCACGTCGCAGGATAACTGTGTAGCAAGAAAGCCTATTATACCGTAGGAGGAACTGCTTGCCCGTTATCCTATATTCAGTGGTACATTTAATAGAGAGATAGTCCACCACAAGAAATCCATTCTAGACTCTTTCTCTTTTCTAAGTTCCTAGAACCTTTCAGCTGCACTATCGGAAGAGACGATTGATCGATCCATCTCTATCCTCTTGACGAAATCGCCCTACTATAAAGCCATTACAGTCCCCTTCTGTGAGGAGAAATACAGTAACCCCACTGTCGTTTCAGCAATATGGCTAGGAGAAAAATTGTTGCTTCATTGGCAGGTAAGTGTCTTTACATATTCATAAACGTGGGATGAGGGCTAATATTAGCCCAAACAGGCAATCCTCGCACCAATAAGTGGCAGATGTTGCTCCGAAAGGCCGACGAGGCAGCGGAGAGTCTCGAAAACCGAGTTGATACTCTTATATTGAGTAACAACTACCTTCAAGAGCAAAACTCTCACTGCCAAAACGCACAACAGCGCCTTCAGTCTCAGTTGGTGGCAGAAATCGGTGACTGGGATTACAGATACGCTCAGGCAACAAGGGAAAGGCAAAATACATTTTGCGACGAATGTCACCAGCTAGTACAGCGGGTTTACCTCGCTCGGTGTTTTCATCTTGTTTGCTATTCGTGTTTCCCAAGACAGGTGGCCTAGTTGTTGTTCTGTAAGGCGTTGAACACATTACTTTAGACCCTCAATCCTAGGATAGGTGCACGTCCAAACGTAAGCACACTATAATCACAATACATAGTATAGAATGTATAGTGCAGATCCTGAATGATTCTTGAACACTAACTCACTGCGTATACCTCTACACTGATATTATGGTTATCATAGCGTATGGTGGCACCCTTTCATCTTTTGGAGCTGGTCGTATCCACTTTCGGGCCGTTCTCATGGGTATTCGAAGTTAGCGAAACGAGCTGCCAGCTCATCACAACTGCCCTTCCCTTATCTTGCCGATCTACTCTTCCCTTCACGCCATGACGTCGATGGATAAGTCGCAGTCAATTTGGAACCCGTCACTTGGATGCAATAGCTTTGCAGCATTGCCAGATCATTCAGGGCTTTTTTTCCTCCGAACTTGTTACCGTAATAGTCGCCAATTATGCGATTGCTCCTGATCAGTCAGATACATGCCAATCCGGTAGATACTATTGCAGCAACGGCCGATGCATGCAGATCAGCAGTTGGTCCTGGTCCTCGGACTAGCAAATGGGATGAACAAGCAGGCGCACGAGTTCTGTATAAGTGGTTGGTTAGTCATGTATTTTACGATGATTACTTTGGCAAACTAGGCAACGTCTATCCTTGAACGGTGAAGGCTGTCCTCGTTTTAGGGAAGGCAGCCGATAATGTGCTCAAACATCAGGTGTCCGTTGCATGGACATAATACGTCCAGTACCTGGACCCCCGAAATACTCAAATGTCACCACCTAGGGCAATTTTATAAGAGAACCAAAGGGGGGGAGAGAAGAATACCCAAGGGTTTAATTGATTGCCTGATATGATATTCTAGAAGCACCGACGCAGAAGATGGCCTGCCCCTTCTTATTGAATCTTCTCAGTCTTTGACCTAGAGCCATGCGTTAAGCATCATTCCACAATCCCGTTAGCAAACTCAACACAGGCAGTGGCGATGTCACTGGACAGGGGAAAAGGCCTTATATATCTTCGGGTTGTCCCAACGCCCGCGTCTGACGAAGGCGGGCCGCAAGCAGAGAGTCAACATGCGCCAGTGGGTTTGATGAAGCGCTGTCTCCCTGCAAGACAGAGCTTCCAGCTGTCATGGTTATTCTCTCGGGCGCCGGCACTGCAAGATACTTAGACACTGTCTTGCGATGAGAACTTCGAAAGACCTGCTCGACACGATCAGCTACCAGACAAAAGTATAGCGATACTACGAAACATACATGCATCAGCTTAGCGATTTCAATCATGTGAATATTGATTTCACCGTCCCCTGCGTCAAGAGCCTTCTGACGGAATGAATGACGCCGGACGGAATCGATAAAGCCGCGCTGGTAGTAGGTGACATGGCGTCGAAAAGCCTCGGTGGAAAGAAACGGGTCCATGCCAAGGAAGGCATCAATCACCTGAATCAGCACCATCTGACCTCCTTGGACGCCATCATATTCTGTGTAGGCCTCACCATCTATCGTGCCAGCGGCCCATCCGTGAAAACCTTGGACGTATGACAGCCAGACAGCCGGACTGACCGTGGAAGGCACAAAGGTCTTGTAGAACGCCTGGAAAACCTTCCGTAGTTGACGGAATATAGACCGTATTGTTTCTGCACATACCGCTTTGTCTCCCCTCTCAAAGTATTCAATCGACTGCGCGATGTGGAGGTAGATAGGGACAGCCTTTGATGTACCCATGGGCTAGATATCCCGAAGCGGCAGAGCAATTCGGACCTACCAGCCTCTCCATCTCCACGAAAATATACGTAAAGTGGTACTCCGATGACCGCACAATATCTGGCATCCCCTCGTTGATCGTATAGATCATCCTTCCACTCGTATCAAATTCGCAAAGCAGATTTGACATGGCGTTCCCCCCTTGTGAATATATACCATATCGACGACAAAGATAGTCCCACGGGATGTCCAACTCCACGGGGAAATCGATCACCTTATCATCCTGCGCAACCTTGACAATAGGGTTTGTGGCCCATCTATGCGCAAAATTTAATTAAGCCAACTCAATCAACTGTCCGTGGAATTGGGCTCTCACCGGAATGCATGACGGCAGTAGGCAACGCATGCAAAGAATCCGTTACACGCTTCCCGCGAGAATCCATCGCCCTGTGCCCGGTCGCAGAGAGCATTCTCCACCGCGTCCAGGTTAATGTGTGCTTGTAGCAGAGCCGTCATTTGACTGCGAAAGGCCCTGCAGCGGGACAGATTCATTCGGTCGTCGGTGAGGTGTACGTTGCTCGCGAGTTGTAGAGACATTGCGCGGTAGACTTCATGATACGGATGGAGTGCCTCGGGCCATTCCGCGTGGTGAACTGCTCGTGGAGGCCAGCTCCCAGCCCCGTCGGTCTGTATGAGGGTCTGTAGTCGCACCGCCGTCTCATGAGTAGTCCCTAGTGATTTAATCTGGTCTACAACAGGATGATGGTCCAGATCAAGCGGAGAGTCGCTGTTAGAATGCTGAGTCCGCTGTGTCTTTTGGCGAGTCACCGACAGCCTCATCCAGAACTCGTGTAGAGACGCCGCCATTAGAAATGCCAAACCGGTGAGCATCATCGAATCGAAGTGCTCGAAGTAATTTTATGCGAAAGATGGTTGCCTTTGGGATGAAAATAAAAACAGATGGGGGAAAAAGAAAAGAAAGAAAAAAGAAAAGTGAGGAAGTAAAGACATTCCTGGGCGACTGGTACCTTGATATTTCTAGATATGTCCGGGATGACATGTGCCTACCAACCCATGTCCAGTGTTGTCGCGTACATTCATCCGTTTGCTTAAGGGTTTCTCAGGTGTGCGTTTACCGACACGGAATGTGGCCGCAGTGGGCTACGGAACCCCTATGATAATTCGGGTAATAAGCCTATTTGAGCTGGAATGACTAACGAGCAGGTTGTTTAATGGGCAATTGTGTAGGTTCGAAATACGCACGCCCGTATGATAGATCCTGTCCATTCAAATGCCCAACTAACGACAACTGAGAGACGATATTTCCCGGGCAATATCCTTGCGCCATCAAATACCCGGCGGGAGTCCAAACAGGGGTGAGCGATTTGCCTCTTGCTTCGGTGATTTGAGTGTCAATCGCTTTAATGAGTAGAGTCAGTTATGATAAATTGGCACGGACCTTTACTCATTCGGAGTTTTCACGGTGGCTGATGGTGAATTCGGAAGTCCATGGGGCATGTCCATTTATGAGCTTTTTGCTAAGCTGGCTCCTGTCTTTTCTTTGCCTGTGTTTGGAATGTGAATCCTTATCGGGAATTTCCCAAAGGTCCGGCCTTGTGTTTAGCCTGAAGTTTCACTTGCGAGCATTAAGCCTCTCTACAGTAGAACGTACGGTGTAGTACCAAGCTTTTGGTCAGATATTCGGGCAAAAATATCAGGGTCCAGAAAGGGTCAACGCAAAAGTATCGCGGACTCTGGTTATGTTAGCGTTTGCACGCAAGAACAGTTACTGGTGATATCCCCCTCCTCCCCCCCCTTTTTTTTTTCTTTGATACAAATGCACAATTTAAACGCTCACCCCGAGTCAGACCACCCATGCATACAGTATATCGTCTGCGGCATGCACTCATTGGGGTTCACTCCTTGAGGGCGGTTGATTTAGACCATTATTGACCAACGACAGTTTCTAAGTACATTAGAAAAAGATTGGCATCATTGGTCCAGCCTTTCCCAACATTAAAAGATGTAGGGAGGTACGCAGATACTCGCCCCTGGAGCCTTGTGTATAACTCTCTCGGCCTTCTAGCTTGGGGCTCGAGGCGAGCTGCGAATCGTTAAGCACCACGATCCGCTGTTTCTTATCCAGTCGTATTATATCCATTCAAAGTTTACAGGTCCACCGCAGGCTGTATGGTTGCGCCAGGCTTCTCTCGGGAGTCTGTTGTGTAGTCAACTAAGCCACATCCGTCTCTTCTATACGCCTCGCTCATCAAAGAAATACAGGCCAGGCTCAGATCCCCTCACTCCCCCAAGACGCAGTCACGGAAACTGTGCAATTGAAGAAGTCGCCACGGTCTTGATGCCCTCTAAGCTATCGACGCAGCCACGGGCCGCCGCGCTGCCGTTCCAAGCACAGCATCGAGTTCTGGCGGCAGTCCAGCGACGACTCGAGCGCTGCGTATTTGATTTTGCCAGAAGATGGTATCCTGATTTGTGTCAGTTGAAGGGCTGGGACTGCGTTGAAAAGGTAGAATTGCATACCGCATTCCGGGCGCTGGAACAGGATGATCGCGGCCGCCTGGCCGGGAACACCACAACAAGCCCGAAGGAAGCCCTGGGCCAATTGCGAGCCCACGTGGTCGGTATCCGACATGCAGCAGTTCATCGAGAACGACAAAGCCATAGCCAGCTTCTCAAAAAAATAGACACGGCGCATAGATTTGCAACGGTCTGGCTGAGCGACCGGCAGTGTGGAACGGAGCTTCAGCGGTGCCGGCTTCAGGTGGATGCCCTCTTCAACCAATGGAAGAAACGCTCTCGCTGCATCGCCGCCAACCTCGACGCACGCATTGGGCTGTTGAGCGAATCTGACAGGGCTCCGCTATCCGATAGGTATCGTCGCCTCCTGCTGGAGGCAGCACGGCGGCTGGCCCAGAGGAATCTCAATGACTGTGTTGCCCAGGCGGATCGCATCGTTCGTATCACCTTTTCTGCCATTCCCTGACCCAAAAGCAAGCGGATATGCAGTTTATTCATAACAAGGTCAGTGGCCATGGATCGCAATTGGGCTACTGTAAGAGACTGGGCTGTCCGGTTGACTGTGGTGACTTGTCGACTCCACGAACGCATGTTTCAGTCTTGACCGGGCAAAAGAACACGTTATCCATTATTCCACTAGACACGACATTGTGGAAACAAAGGCATGGGTCGTTGCGAGTGGGCAGATAGTTTTGGGTGGAAGCGGGTGAAGAGTCGTGATAATGAACCTTGCTGCATTCTCAGGGTTTCAACCTAAGCATCAGACCTAGGAGATGGAATAAGCAATATTCGATTCGCCATAGAAATATACAGTAAGTAGTCTTTTTACTGATCTCCCAAAAAAATGCCCCAGAAGATTCGATTTTCATAGTGTGTCAATCAACATCTTACCGTATTTACGGTAGATACAGCTACGCGGTGCCATATCGCTTTATTACGCCCACAATTCTCAGCTCATTGGATGCTGCGGTTGCCAGGTGAGCATGTTTACATTGGGATGGAGGTGGCATAATACTGTCTATACTGCCCATTATGTATTTCCGTATAACCTCCCTAACCCGTGCGACCACTGTTCACATACCCAGCCCCTCCCAGGAACATGCTTCAAGACGATACCCACGTCAGACCATCGCCACGATTCTCTTGGACCATCAACGGCCATGCTGGCAGCGACAGCACCACATTTGGATCGGCGTTTGCAACGAATGGCGGACAATCCACCATCCTTGATCCACGATCATATCGTAGGAGTGGATAATACGGGGTAGTGTTGTATGTGGCTATGCTCTGACATACCCCATTTCGTTGAAACTTTGGGTTCCTCTGGCGAGAAGCTAATCGCTCATGTTGTGGCAAAGGGGAGGAGCTAGTCGAAAGAGGAACGTCCGCATCTCGGTGGGCGGAAAGCGATAGGCAGCACGGATCTATTGTTTGAGAGCAAAAGTCCGATATCTGTCCATCGGGCTTCAGAGTCTCCAACGCATTGAGGGGGCGAAAGAACAGTGGCGATGGTGCGATATCGGCCATTTCAGGCTGTGCCTCTGGTTCGAGATAGAGCACGTCCGGCTCTCCTACCGAAACATCTGACCGCGGGGCTGCTTCCCCCAGGCGTGGACCTTCCGTCAAGTCTATCAGACCCTGAACAGCTGACATCTCATCTTCCCCAATATGCCACCCGGATAATTCTTCCTCTACCGTGTGCTCACCAGTAGAAGGGCACACGCCTGGAGTGCGATCTCGGACCTTATCCTGGGCTATGAAGCCAACATTATTTATCGCTTGATATATATGCGACTCTGTCATGGATTGGAGGAGCAAACTGCATTGGAGCTCCTCTGCTACTTCAGTAGCCGGATAATTGGGCACCCAACACTCGAGTTGGGGAGCACAATTTACATTGTTTCTGTGACACCCGTCACAGGGTAATTCACCGAAGCACTGGCATTCGGATTAGCGAGTTGCCTGGAAGTTAACAATGGCCCACATCCTAGGATCCTAGGACGCTCCGTCTGCTTAACATCAAATGAAGGAGAAATTCATTTGGACCTACCATAGAACTAGAAGGACAAACCTTGTCCTCCGACTCGTCAGGTTCGAAGAGAGTGGTAAACCCTTTTGGTAGAGGACTGTGTACCAGGGGGTGACAGACTATAAGCACCAATTTCACCTGGCAGCCTGGATTGCCTTTGCAAGCTGTGTTAGGTGACGTTTTGATAAGACGGCAATGGCCGAAGTTTGAGTGATTAATTCGGTCTGCTCTGTTGTACCTCGGAAGCAAAATCGATGTAGAGATGTATCCAAAGTGCCAGGGCCGGACCGTGTGACTTTATGTCTTCCTGGGTGAGCATGGCCGGCGCACCTTGCAACCTATTGGATCTATTTCTTATTTCAGGCTACCGTAGGTCGGGCATTTTCTATGGCCCGACTGTATGCCGGAGCTCATCATGTTAGCCCCGGTTCGTAGGATAACGCGACCTGTTATAGGATTCTTCCTACTTCGCTCGGGAATACATATATCATGGGAAACCGCACACCTCTCCTAGGGACGCGGCAAGCTCTCGGGGGAACGTGACAAGCAGCTCTCGGAGGTTATTGAAAAGCTCCGCAGATGTTCGATGCTCCACAGAACCAGAGTAGATATTGCAGGAGCGTAGCTTAGCTAACAACCATCTTTGTGGTAAATGCACTGAGAGCGTACCTGTACACCAAACCACAGCGCCCATGTCATATTGCAAAAGTCTCATACAGTATAAGTCTATCCATTGATTCCGCTGGTGGTGACCATGGATTTGCTTTACTTTGACACTGAACTACCAAGACTCCAGTTTCCCACAGGACATTAAGACTCAGTTTAACGTACATCCCACGCGCTGAACTCCAACAGATATGCATCTATTCGAACTACCGGAAGATGTTCTTCTGTCTATTACAGACGAGGTCGATGGTTCTACGGACCTTCTGTCACTGTGCCGCACTAGCAAGACACTTTTGCGGATTACACTCGGCGTGCTTTACCGGTTCAACATTCAACAACAAGGCAGTTCGGCATTGCTTTGGGCTGCAAGCAAAGACGAGATTACGGTCATTCAGGCGCTGTTAGGTTACGGTGCTGATATAAACGTCAAGGACGACGAAGGATGGTCAACCGTATCCCTGGCAGCACAGAACGGCAATTCTAGAGCTGTGGAACTGCTACTTATGCAGGACAACCTAGATCTGTGGTCTTACGATCACCGGTTCACCGGTTTCGATCGACCGCGCTACACGAAGCCGCAAGGGCCGGCCATCTTTCTGTGGTCAACTTGCTACTCAATGACAAGCACGTCAATGTGAATGTTATGGATAGAGACAGGAGGACGCCCCTGTGGTGGGCGACCTATTTCCAACATAAGGCGGTGGCGGAGCGACTACTAGCGGTGGATAGAATCGACGTGAATGCACGTAGCCACCTATCTGAATCAGCAGGCGAACCCGTCGAGTCCTCTGCCTCTCTCCATCACCTTGTCCGTTGGGAAGAAAATGCTGCACCCCTGATAAACTTGTTCATCCAGAAAGAGGGACTGGATCCGAATATAGAGAATGAACAACGGCAAACACCACTCTGGTTGGCGGCCGAGAAGGGAGACGTCACGATCGTGGATATGCTGTTATCCCACGGGGATATTAACGTGAATGCATTTAATAGGTCAGGCCGCTCTCCACTCTGGGCTGCCGCACGCTACGGCCATGTCCTTGCCCTTCCCGCGACGGACTGGAATCAGACCTCAGTGTTCAATGAGTCGCCGCTAGTAACCGCCCTCCGATCCGGTCATCTGGACGTGGCTAAAACGCTACTGAAACAAGACGACCGGGCAAAAATCACACTACATGAACCTAGAGGGGCGTTTGGTTTTTCTCGGGCGGAAAGGAAGAGATACGGTGAAATCGTTGATGGCATCCTCGGCTAGATCCGCGGTGCGCGTCTGAAGCAAGGAACATGTTGATTAAAATATCCTACTGTACGCTTTGCATTGGTATACAGTATATTTCCTCTGGGCCGTGAAGAAATGTTTAAATCTGGACTAACAACAGGCAACATAAGGGGTAGAGTATGTACCACTACATAATTTCCAGCGCACTTAGAAGGACACCGTTGGTTCTTCTGCTATACTGCAATTCTTCTGATCGGAAGTACATAGTAGACTACGCCTGTTAAAGGTGTTATATTACCTATCTGCAAGCTGCATAGGAATTGCATGGCTAGTTGCTGGTTAGATGGATTGTCTTATTCTGTTGGCAACATCCCCAAGTCCGGCAGACTCTGCGCTAGGACATAGTATACTCAAGTGCAAAACCAGTGTCGCCGCTGAAATATGCCCTGAACGCAACATAACCCCAGCAACTGTCTGTTGGCAATCACATCCGTAACCCGTCAGCTTTACGATGAAGCCGATGGGCTTTCTACAGATTATAGACTCTCTTGAACGCGCTATGGGGGCGCTGTCAAACAAGCATACGAGAGTCCTCCTTCTTCTCCGTCTACATGTATTTGTCATAAACTATTGTCTTCCTAATGAACCTAGAGTTTTGCCAAGATCTAGGTTGTCCCATGTTTAAAGTTCGGCGTCGCGCTCGTGGCGGGCGATTTCGAACCCCTGTGAAACCTCTGTAGGCAACGAAAGTAGACCAGAAAAAAAAATAGATGAAAGAAGATCAATAGGTATCCCTGCACCGCGACTAGATTAACTGTACATACAGAGCCTGTGGCTGCCGCGGGGAGAGCACCTAGAGAACCCTTCGATCGTAGCCAGCCACCATCCTTCGAAACCCGGCCCTACGACTTGGGCTGTATAAACAGGGCCTCCGCGAGGATGGCTGGAACCATCCCCTGTCCATCGTCGCGGGGAATTTCGACAGCGCCGTGAAGGTAGATCTTGCGGCCCTCCACCTGGTGCGGCCAGGCGCGCAAGCGGATTGGAACATGCGGCGGGACTGATTGTCTGAAAGAGGTGTTAAGGTAGGCGGTGACGGCTGATCGATGCTGGTCCGGCGGTCGACAGCAGTCCGCTAGAATCTGATCCAGCAGCAGGGTTAGGTAGCCGCCGAACAGCTTGCCGTTGTAGTAACACATTTGCTGCTGGGGCGCCAACCGCAAGTTCGCCTCCGCTTCTCGCCCCAGACGGTGCGGTCGAAACCGGGGTCTATACCCATCAAGTAACGACCGAAGGAGCTGCTGCGAGGGACTGGCCGTAGGGTCGGGTCCCTTGTGGTGGAGCTGAACCATTAACAACAAACGTCTCGAGCTCACATGGGAAGTCTTACCAATAACGGCGACGCATGAGCCAGACTCGTGTCCTGGGATAGGGCCGCTAGCTGCGCCGCGCGATGCAGAGGCTGATGGCGTGTCGCGTGACTGAACCGGCAAACAATCGTGCGTCGAGCCATTCTGGGTAGAAAAATCGGTCACTGTCGAAATAATGCTAAGACCGGAGTGAGAGAGTTTAGTAATATATAATCTAAGGAATCGAAATGTGACAACTATGTCTGCAACAGCTGAGGGTCATATTTATTTGTCGACAAATCGCTCGGAAGACGGGTTGGCTCCTTGCACCTGGCTCACTGTTCGACTGGGTAAATGCAGGCGTCAGGTTTAACGATATCTGCCTAACATATGGAGACTGCAAACTTCACCACTAGACTAGAATGCTCTTCTGCATACAGTAGATCAATTCTCATATTACCAGATCATACCCAGGTACACTACCTACGTGGAAATGGAATGATATGATCTCTACAAAAAAAAAAACCGACATCGGTGAAGAGCATCTCCTGCCAGACTACTAACCACGGATTCTTAGGACTGCATGTCAGGGAGTAGGAATTGCAGATTGGCCATGGCGCGGGCAGTCAAATGACCTCATGGCCCGGGTTCGAAGTGGGAAAGGTCAAAGAGGATACGGGAAACCCGGGAACAGGAAGCTTGGGTGGATAATTATTTGATCAACTTGGGATTCTTGTCGTCAGACGGGCAATTCACTGTCCGGCTGCTTGAATCCACGAACGGTCGAGTTCTACCGAAGTCATGGGCTACACTGTAATACCCGTCCATGGGTAGATAGTCTCCGCGGATTGCTTTTATTCAGACAGTATTGTGCAGGCATTTGATCGAGATACTCGGACAAGGACTCAAGCTTCGGTAAATGGGCAAATGAGCAGGTCAACCGGTATTGGCTTAGGTCAGTATGAAAGAATTGCCCCGATTTTCTCGGAATGCGGTGTCATAAAGCCCTGCCGGTGTTTTACAACGCTAGTCCTTACTAGGAGGTTCAGGGGGGTTCAACCTCGGGTTCAGCTTGGCCATTTGGAACATGAACCCCTCAAGAAAAGTAAATTACTTAATTGATTCTCGTTGTTTCCCTATGTAAGGCAAGAGATTTGTGGTCAACAAAATTGGGAAATGAGGCATATGCACCGTGAATACACTAGATTACAGGTTTTTCTTTTTGTTTACCTGATGGTCGGCTTCTTCGAGTCTGTTAACCGTCATGTAGAAAACTCGGTTGTTGAATATATATCATTAACACGGCATCAGGGGATCTACGATCAAACACAACACAACAATCCCCACAGATATATTCACCACAAAGCAACGGATAACACGATATTCTTTTGTCAACCAGATACCACAGAAATAAATGAACCTGGTACATTTCCCGCCCCTAAACGCTGCTCATGATCGTGCTGCACAGTTGGGCTGATGCCATGCTTAGTCATACCGACCAAGGAACCTTGAAAGATCTAGGAAAGATGCGGAAAACACTCTAAGCTAAAAATCATACTGGAATGATCTGCAAGATGGAAACATCTTGAAAATAGTCACTAGAAACGGGCTCTCCCGGGGGCTGAATAGGATCGCAAGAGAGTAGGCATGGAATTGATAAAGTACGATCCTGATCATGCGCATCGGACGCGATTAGCTGGCGGTCGCCGGTCGCGCGGAGCTAGTCTCCCAGCGATTCAGCCAATCCCTGGCATAGCGGCGGAGGACACCGCCTTCCAGCATTTTGGTGCCCTCTCGGAGGGTCTCGCTGTCGCGTCGGGCATTCTGCATTGTGAAGGTCTTGGCGAGCTCGGCGGCGGCCCCCTGGCCATATGTCTTCCGGTAATGATAGATCAGCTTCACGGCTGGATTGATCCTCTCTTCGTGTCGGGCTTCACTCGCCTCCAGCAGCTGCAGCCACTCGGCAAAAGGCACCGCGTCGAATTGAAACCCGCCTCGCTTGAGCTGTTCCAACAGTGCGGCCCAGGTGAAGGCGTGGGGATTCACTATGTTATAGACCGAGCCATCGCCGGTGCCGGTTTCGACGTCACCATTCGTAGAGCTGTCGACGCCGTCACGGATCGCCGTTTCCGCTCTCTCGAGGCATGTCCCGGCAATCTCGAGGATGCACTGAGCCAGCCGATCCACAGGGAACCAGGAGCACGTCGCGTCCATCTCCGGCAACGCCTTCAGCGTCAGGGCGGACCGGACCAGCAGCGGAATCGCCTCCGAATCATTCCACAGACCCCTCTGGGAGTGACCGGAAATCTGTCCGATGCGCAGGGAATAGGCACGCGCGCCCATACTCCGCGAGTGACTGACGATCTGTTCTCCCACCCACTTGGACTGGCTGTAGCCCATGGACAGGGCCGACTCGATCGCCAGCGGTGTCTCCTCGATGTCCGATACGGATGACGCAAGGGCGGTTGAGATCGAGGAGCAGAACAGGACAACGGCCGGAGTGGCGGAGTCGACCGATTGCGAGAAGTTGATCAGGTTGTGGAGGCCCTGGATGTGTGGTTCGAAGCTCTCCAGTGGCAAAGCGAAGTTGACAGGCCATGCGGTGTGGATGACCAGGGAGACGGATTGCCTCAACTCGTGCAACACGCATGGATCGAGGCCGAGATCCGCTCGGTCCAGCCTACTCTCGAGGCCGACGATTTTGGAGGCGTCGGGCTCGACAACGGCCAGGCCCTTGTGTGCAAGACTGCGCAAGATGGCTTCTTTCGGCCGGGATTGTCGCGTGAGGCAGTATACCGTGGAGACGGTCGTATCGTCCACCAGCCTCTCGAGCAGATGCGCACCGGTGGACCCGGTCGCGCCGGTCAAGATCTACTTCGGTCAATACTACACGTGTGCGGCAGAGCGTGTCATAAGACATACCACAGCTTTGCGATCAGAGGCACAGGTCCCTGGAGCGTGGTGACGTTTGAACGACCCGTACTTCTGGACTAGACTATGTGCGAACAGACTATTTGCGAGTGCCTGAGAACCGTCCGGGGCGTCCGTGAGCCGGCCCTGCTGGATCGCGCAAATTTCTTTCGCCAGCCGAGCTATACTTCCCATCTCGTACACGATGTTCGGACGGAGCGTCCGCTCCCCGGGGAACCGGAAGTCCCTCAGAATCATCCGGCGGAGGCTGATCGCTTGAAGACTGTCCACCCCTTTGGAGTAAAGGTTATTGGTTGGCGTGATCTGTTGACCCAGGTCTTCTTGGCAAAGCTTGAGAAGATACCCTTCGGTTTCTTTGACCCCCAATAACAGGGCACCGGTCCCTGCCTCCGAAGACGGGTACATCTCTTCGATCGCTGTAGCGAATTGCCTATACACTTGAGCTCGGATCATAGATCCCTTGTCCGTGGCTGGGCACGTGACACCGGCGGGCAAGACTTTGACCAGTCCTCGGGAGATCCGCGAAAATTGTTCCGCGCGGGAGTTGGCATCTTCGACGGCTCTCCAAACCTGGTCCACAATCGCTTTGTCGTCCAGATCCTGGGCGTGCTTCGAGCGGAAGATTAACAGGCCCGGCACGGCCTTGTGGATCCCGACCACAACGGCTTCCTGCACCAAGGGATGCTGTCTGATCGTCCCTTCGATCCACAGGGGATGCATCTTTTCACCATTGACGAGGGTGATTTGATCGTCTAACCGCGAAACATACCTCCACCGGTTCGGAAGACTGGGGTGCTTCTGGAAGATATCGCGAGAGTGATAAGAACCGTCGTTTGTATTGGAAGCGCTCAGGCTCGGATGGCCACGCAAATAGACGCATTCGTAGAGACCGTCGCCGATGGGCTTCATTTGGACGAATGCGCTGACATGGTCAAAGAACTGCAGGTAGTTCCAACCGTGGTCATTTAGAGGCCGCGAGATGGACCCAGCCACCAGGCCGGCTTCCGTTCTGTTGACTTGTCAGCTACCTTGCCTCCGGCGCAGCCAGAGAGTATGAAGGGAGAAGGGGATTACGTACGATCCAAACAATCCACCGAACCGGACTCCCTCGGCCACCAGGCGATCGCCTAGCTGGTCCGGACACGCTGCCCCGCCGAACGTCACTAATTGACAGGCCTGGAGGATGCGGATGCCGTCGGGCTCGTCCACCAATAGCTGAAGCACATACGGGACGCAGTGGATGGACTCCGGTTGGGCTTCCTGCAGGGCCGCCACCAGTGCTCTCCCGGTGATAGGCAATGAGGTATCCCACCCGAATGCCGTCTTTCGTCTGTACATGGCCTGCAGCGCGGTCGCCAGGCCGTACCCGTGGTACCAGGGCAGGGTATTGAAAGCACTCCACCCGGGCCCGATGCGAGCCTGCGAGACCAGGACACGGTGACTCAGATACAGTGGCTTCGGAGTGCCCGTCGAGCCGGAGGAGTGCAGTATCACCGCGATGTCGCTGTCGTTAATCTGTGGCAAGCCTTCACCCAGGGTTTGGGCTACGGCGTTCTGGCCTGCTTCGGTATCACGCGAGGATGGACGGGTTGGATGGCAAGCGATCGACATTAGCCTCGACACCCCAGCGACGATGTCTCGGACCGGATCGGTTTGGCCGTACAGGACTGTGCGGCAGCCCACCTGGTCCAGAAGCGAGACGCAGGCCGAGGCCGACAGACGAGGAGAAAGCATCATGACGGTGTAGCCAAGTCGACTGAGCGAAAACAAGGCAACTACCATGCTCAAGTCCGACACACTAAGGAGAGCGACAGTCTCTCGTCGGGTTGGACACTGCTGGTGTTAGCTCGCGGACCTATGGGGGAGACCATGCACCCACAGGTTTGAGTCCCGACTCAACCAGAGCGTGAGCGGACGTTTCAATCATCCGATCTAGATCGCGCCCGCTAAAATAGTCGTAGGAAGGGCCGTCGTCGGATGGCCGTGGATAGGCCAATATAGGCAATTGGTTCGTGTCTGCTGCACGTTGGCGTATCAGGTCATCAAGCACACGGATATTCCCGAAGGAGGACGCCACATCATCCGAATGCTTATCTTGGAGGGTCATCTTTTGTAAGGTGTCCATAGTAACGAAGTATGTCTCCGTGGAGCGAAGAGAGACTTCTGGGCTCGCTTTGTGGGTGGGATACAAGTGCAAGTCTTGTGATGTGTAGGAGGCGAGACACTCCCACGATGGAAGACGGATAGCATTAGTTAAATACTGTGTGGGTGGAGCGGTCTTGGAAGGTGTAGCTTTAACGCGGTAGCCACGGTTGGCCCGATTGAGTAGCAACCGGATAGTACCTGGCAGGTTGTATTCATTGACACCGGCGTTCTGGACATCACTTTCAACCGTTTATTCGACATAGACCATGAGTGACCCAGAGCGACCGGTTCAAGTTAGCGAGCAACTCCGACTGACAATTCCGCTCGGCGTGTATTTGGTCCATATATTGCTTGGTTATTCTGAATTGCGCGGTTTGCGTGCAAACAGTGGTTAGAGGCCAAGACATGGGCAACGGTCAGTGACCGAGCCGCTGTTTCACCGGGCAGGACTTTGGTTTAGAAACTCTCCTATTCTTAAAGGATTCTCTGATACGGTCCCCCATGGACAAGCAAAACCCTGTTGCGACAGGGATGGTCGTTGTGCTATGTGGTATATTCGGTATTTCGATGTAAATCACAATATTATAAGTAGATGTGCATTCATACGGTACACGTTCAAGGCTATCTCCAATATTCTGATCTGATCTTTCCACTGCCTAAAAGGACACATTTACTTATAGCCTATGGAGATCTCAGGGAACACAACACAGCTCCATTTCCTCTCTCCCGAGCAGCAGCATATGCTGTTTTCCCAAAGTTATCTTTGAGCCGCGTTTGGGAGTTAGGGCGCAATATCCGAACGATTTCGTGGTGCCCTCCTGCAGCAGCCCACCAGAACGCCGTCCGCCCGTCACCGTCGACCGCGTTGATATCAGTGCCCTGGACATCCAGCAGCAAATTTACCATGGACGCTTGGTTTTTAGATACAGCGTGCATGAGGGGCGTCCAGCCCCACTTATCTCGGACACTGACATCAAGTTTCTCACCTTGCCTCAGCAGAAGGCTAAGCACGTCCAAATGGCCAAAGATGACCGATACGTGTAGTGACGTTGTCCCGGAGGCGTTAACTTGATTGACATCAATGTACTTGTGCCCTAATAGTAGGTGCACCATGTCTTTCCTACCCGAGCGACATGCAACCCAAAGGGGCGTGACCTCGTGTCCAGATTCGGCATTCACTCTGATTTCTGGCTGCTCAAGAAGGAGCTGTGCCACAGGCAAGCGTGCATGTTTCACGGAACGTGCTAGAGGTGTATAGCCATCTAGATCGACGGCATTCAATTCGACGTCGACTTGATTTAGAAGCAGCCGGATTAGGCTAGTTTTACCAAACTTAGCAAGGTTATGGAGAGGTGCTCCGCCCTTGTGGTCTGGCATGTTGTAGTTCACGTTTCGATCAAGTAGTCGGCCGAACCATCTATCGGATCCAACAAATGCCACCCACCAAAATGGGGTGCGGCCCTGAAAGTCCTGGGCATCAAGGTCGATTTCGGGGACGCACAGCAAGATATCAATACATGCGTGATTGCCGTATTGGATTGCTACATGTAGCGGGGTGTTTTGCCGGCTGTCCCGGGAGTTCACACAAACTCCGCGCTGCTGAAGCAAGAAGCCCATCATCACGGCATTGCCTAAGCGAGTAGCGTGATGAAGGGCGGTTGATTGATTTTCATCCACATCCACGGCATTAATATCAACGCCTCGCCTTAGGAACATCTGTGCAATGCCTGTGCTATCGTTGGTGACGGCGAGAAAGAAGAAACGGGCGTCTTCATGTCTCCCGTCTGGCTCCACCTCCTGTTGTAACAGTCTTTTGACCACACATTCGGCACCTCTGGTGATGGCAAGACTGAGTAAGGAGGAGCCGAGAAACCGGAAAGATCTCGTAGGCCGACAACAATGAACAAATCCAATCTTGTCCAACAGGTACCTGATGAATATCTCATCACTGTTGATGGACAACGCATACCATAGGATATTCCGGCCTTGATCGTCGCACCCGTTGATGTCAATATCGTGGTGGTTCAGCAGTAGCTCAATTGTGTCCATGGCTTGGCACCGTACAGCGCACCAGAGGAGCGGCTCCCCATTTCCAGTGGCATTAACATTGGCACCGTAGGATAAGAAGATTCTGGCAATATCCCGTCTGTCATTCTGCACCGCCCAATAAAGCCCGGAGCTGTGATTGATTGCAATATTCCGTTTGAAAAGGATCTTGGTAAATGTTGATTGCATGTCGTGACAGGTGAGACATAGCGCGTAAAGGGTTCTTTCGTCGAGCAGCTCGCCAATCATGCAGCGAAGCTCAAGGGGGAGTCGTGTAAGCATTGTCATTGCTGGATTTGGCGTGAAATGGAGATGCCAGTAGAAGTAGCTGTAGCGAGCTACAGCCTCCTCGCTGGGCCAGTCTGGCTCAATTTAAATGTCCTATAGGATGAGAATCCCTGGCAAGTCGGAAGACGCTGACGAAATAAAGGAGCGAAGCGCACTCCGGTGAGCCCGTAGGCTAGTTCTGGGGAGCGATATATGGATACCTGGGAGCGCCGGAGGTCGGAAAAGTCTATAAAAATTTGGAAAATTACGTAGGTCCCTTCATTCGGGCGCTACCAGACAACGTCATGGCATGTATGCGTTGCTTCGTATAACCGTGCTCTCGAAGCACATAAAGGACGTGACACGCTGCCCAAGCTCCCTCACACAATCACGTTCACCGAGTTATCAACTTCGATATATTTTCATTCAACTATAGCTTATCCCTTCTCACAATGGCACCCCCAACAGCAGTGGTGATCCAATCTGCAACCCAGTTCGGCAAGGATGGAGTACCACCACATCTCCTATTTATCTTGCACCTTACCTTTCGTGCAGCGAGTCACGATAATCGTGAATCCCTATCCGTCCTCCAAATGAATCTGACCCTGTCCAACAAGTTGAATTGGGAGTTATGCCTGGAAGACATTGCCCGGCGGAAAGTCCCCCCTCTGCATTGGGCCGTTCGGCATACAGCGCTCGACCTCATTGAGATGTTGCTCAGCTCCGGGGTCGATATCAATACAGTGCATCGGGGAAATACCCCGCTAGTTGAAGCCGCCACCCTGGGCTTTTCCGACATCATCGCGAGACTCCTATCGAATCCACATCTTGATATGAAACAACACAAACAGGGGATGAGGGCGTTGTGGAAGGGGATAGAGAACGGTCACCCTTCGGTTGTGCAAGGCCTGCTCTGTAGCGACAATGTTGATGCCAATATCGTTTTTCTCTACCGAGGGGAATTCACGACACCGCTCACCTACGCCGTTACCCGTCATTCTAGGGAGATGGTGGAGACCCTTCTTGCCGATCGCCGAACCGATCCCAACTTCCGGTATAAAAATACGCCAGCCCCTTTATTTGGCGCTATGAGAGCCGAGTACCTATGTCTTGCCCAGCGCCTCATGTCTGACGAAAGGTTCGATGTGACGGTCTGCTGTTCCTGTGGCGGCAACCCACTTCATCATGCTGCCGAGACAGGGTGTCTCCATATCCTGCAGACACTGCTGTCGGACTTTGACATCGATATAAATGCACAGGATGCAGATGGATTTACGGCTCTTATCTATGCAGCCGTAGAAGGACATGAATCTATTGTCCGGGAGCTTCTTTCGCACAGTCTCGACATCAATCGTCGCGACCATCGAGGCCGCACCGCCTTGTGGTGGGCAACCAATAACGGGCACGAGTGGGCGGCCCGATGTCTGTTGGCACGAAGTGGCATCCGGGTTGATGCGATTGGTGAGGATGGGTCCACCTCTCTTCACCATGCTGTGCAATGGGGATCGGCCACGCTGATTAACCTCCTGCTTGCACACCGAGACATCAATGTAAATGTGTCAGACGACTACGGACGCACACCTCTCTGGTGGGCTGCTTATCACGGTAACGGAAGGGCTGTGGGATATCTACTTCATGACAGTGGGGCAAAGGTCGGCATCCGAGATCGTTGGCAGCAGGGACCACTTGAGGTCGCTAGAGAACATGGGCAATATTACATCTGGCTTGCGCTCCGAGTCTCCATGATAGACGTGAGACTCTTTATCCTCTGTGCCATTGTTGTATTTTGTCTTTCCCCCACCTCAGGCGCAAACTAGCATGTTCATACAAGACGAATAGAGGACTGTAACTATCTTTGCTACAGTATGTACCCGCACCCCACCTTGGCTGTAGAGTGGGCCTTCGAGTTCGCCCAGATAGGAGTTGATCTAATCGAACGGTGTATTGAGAATGCACCTCCGACCAACGCATAGAGATTGATACCATTCCGGTTGCATATTGCATATTTGAAACCATTTCGCACCATATAAGCCAGCTTTGAGCGCGCGATAGGACAGTCGTGGTCCCTAAACGGTTTCATTTGGGCTCTGATCCGGAGCATAAAAGGTTGTCAAACCCCCAAAGCCATGTGCAAGACCATCAGGCTCCCGCCGTAAGTCGTCAGGTTGTAGAAGTGGGCCATCATAGAGACCGGTTGCACTAGCAACCAACATATCGCTGCGGGTGATGTCCGCCTCGAGCCAGGTCAGCCACCCTTGGTTCACTCGACGAACGATGATAAACAAGGTGTCACCCGGGACAAAGCGTTGATGATGGAAAGTGCTGAACTTGCGGATGCTGTTCTGAGCGCCGAATGTGGCAAATGCTCGGTGGCAGAGGAGCTCGACGAGGAGCCAGTGACCTGCGGCTCGCCGGTCGTTTGGAACCACGGCCACAGCCTGAGCATGGAATAGACTGGTCGACTGAATCGTCAGAGTTTGCAAGAATTGATCCTCAAGGGCAGCGAAAGAGCCCGAGCCCAATTCAATACTGGGGCTTATATTGGTCGGTGGGGCCGGATATGGCATCGGTGGCGTGGCGCAGCATGGACAGCCTGCTGAGGACGACGAAGAACCCCAAGACGACTCAAACGCATCGGGATTTACAGGAGTGTCTTGCCTCCGGGGGACGGGCTGTATGAGTGGTGTTTCTGGGTACGACGCCGGGAACGACATGATGCGTATTAAGTAAGATTTTCCTATAGTTACCATGCGAGGTGACAAAGCTGAGATTGAAAAAGCTGAGATGGGAGACGGGAGATGAAGGATGCCTGTATATATAGGCAGGAGGCCATGGCCGTACCAAAAGCTAGCGGTAGGTGGTTCGAGTAATGTTATGCTGTCGTCCTGTTGAACGCTCCAGCCGATGAGGTTGGATACATGGAAGAAGATGGCTTTAGTGGACATGAGCTGCCCACTAGGGCACTACTGTAATAATCTGTGCTTTGTGCAAATTAGATACAAGAATGGTCATCTAGGCCGACTACTGTGCTAGCACGGACCCCACTTTCATCATTCAACATCTCATGTGTAGCCCGGTCATTGCAGTGTACGGTCTGCCATGCGATAGAGCAGCTTCCACAACAGTGCCATCTTGCGCGGTGATATTTGATACGAGGGCTGATGCCAACCCAGCTCTTTTGTACCTATTCCCGGATGGACTGTTATCATTGTCCTGCGTAGCTAGATGGTGAAGAGCTTACCATAGAACCGACTGGAGCGATTCTTCTGGCCGACATGCCGCGTCATTATTGTTTGTTTGTATTGCGAGAGGCGGCCATCGGCGCAATATTGCGGTGATGTATAACTGTCTTGCCGTGAGCGGAAGATGGGGCCGGCCTGTCCCGACGCCCCATCCCCCTCCTGCTCACTGTGCATTTGCGGCAAGCAGACAGAAAGGGAGGAAGTTTCCCGACACCGTTGCTTCCGGGCCACCTTCGCAGTTCTCGCCGTATTGCTCCTCAAGCTTGATTCCCTTGTGTTGGTTGGACGGTGTCGCTTGATCCCTTTCGTCAACTGCCCCAACTTTGACCGCAAGGATTCATCTGATCTGGGTTTGCAGGTGGCTGTATATTGATGGGCCCTCTCCTTCCAGGACAGGTCTGGGTGTTGAGCCACGAACTTCGGGAGATAGGCCTCCTCGCCCGGGGTCCACGCACGGTAGGCTCTTTTGTTCATTATGGGGAGAAGGTGTCAAAGATACAGGAGACGAGAAATCTTGCCGGGTGATCAGTCAAAAGAACAACAGTCTCCGTAATGATAAAAGTGAAAGGCTAGCAAAATACAATGCCGGTTTATTTTGCGCGGGAAAGGGGGAACGGGCGGTTCATATAACGCCCAGTGAGAGCAACCACCACCGTGGATGATGATAATGGTGGACACACAGTGGGCATTTCCGCTTTGCCCCGATGCATACCCATTTTCACAGGACGCGGTCCCAACACCTGCAATTCAGGAAACGGGCAAAAAGAGAATGGAAAAAACCAGGCATCATGTTTACAGGGGTCTCGACAAGCTAGGCCTTAACCTATACGTAGATGGACTAGCGACCGACCTGCCGTCTCGAATTGCACTTAGGCCCACTTGATGATCAGCGTGCGCTTGCTCGCTTTGTACCCTCTTTACTAGGTGAGCGGGTAAGACCTCTGACCCGCCGTTTTTCCCACTAGGCCCTCTATCCCACTTAAGGCCGTATCTGGCTAGATGGGTGTCGGAGACTAGGCGGACGGGCAACTCGGGGAAACCTCCGCTGAAGGGCTAGTCGGTTCTTGACCTACCTTGGTCTACAGTACTGTATCCGGTTAGCAAAATGAGGATTTGCTTTACAGCATACGGGACAGTTCTCACCTGCGCCCGCCAATGGGACCTTAAAAACTCACCGTTTTACCCTCGATTGCAACCCATGATTTCCTTCTAGATCTGTTGTTCTCTCTCTATCTTCACTACCTAGGATCATGCCGAGAGCTACCCATTCGCGCGCAAACGCTCCTCAACCTGGGACTCGTGCCAGACGGGTCCAGATAAATCCAGAAAACGGTCCTTCGCGACCTGCTCGTGCCCTTCAACGGCCATCAATGGTGGGTGATGTGGAATGTGTGGCCCTAAACATACTGTACGTATATAATCGAGGCTAATTGCTCATCTCAGATGGCACAAACTCAATCCCCGCGTGGCACCGGAAAGAGCCCATCTACGACTCTGGAAGTTGCCCATGCAGAATGTTTTCGAACAATAGAGGAACTTGAACGCGAAACTCAAGCTCTTCGTGAGGAAAAAGAAGGCTTGCAGACGCAGCTCCAGGAGGCACAGAACTCCGAGCTCTCTGACAGGATGAGCACTATTGTGCAGCAGATGCAGGGCGCTATCAACCACTGTCAGCAACAACTATGGGACCTGGAGGGTGCCTCCGCTCTTCCAGACGCTACTGCACTTGGCAATATGTGGACAAACCAGGAGGGTATGGGTGACATGGAGGACCCGAATTTATCAAACGAAGATATGATGAACCTGACCACACTGTAAATAAATTTCATATTCACCTGAAATACCTATCGTCTACGACTCCGGGCGTATCCAGTTGAGTTTACCTGATAGCAGGGTCATGGCTTGGACACCAGGCGATACGACCATGTTAAGAGGGTGGCTGAACCTGTAACGGGAATAGGGCGCTTGGGGTTCGGCACAGAGGAAATGGCATGGGTTTTTTTTCTAGCTCGCTTCCTTGTCTAATGAAACGTCTCAAGTCAGCATAATCGCTCGCAAGAAGTGAGCAAAAGCCGAAATTGCTTGCTCCCATGCTCCCCGTACTCTCCGATCCATGTTAAGTGGGCCGATGCTGGGGGTTGTGACATCAGCAGGTCTGCTTTTTATTCGTCTCCCTGATTGCATCCCTGTTTGGCTAGGGAAGCTAGGGCTCTGGACTGTCTGCAATCTGTGGCTGGCGGACGGCTTGCCCGACAGGCCCTATCCGGGGAATTACGGTAAAATCATCCGCCTGTATCCGCTGCAAATCATAGATTTGATCACTGACAAAGTAGTCACTATTATCCCATCCAGGCTGATGTTACGATAGGAGTGGCGAAACATGTGCGAAACCAAGTGTAGATGAGCGCGCTACAATAATCACTAAGCGGGCTTTGCTCGTGTTCGCGAAATGAATTATCGATGGATCGAGATTGCAAGGACACATTGTGGCATTGAGTGGATCTGCAGCTGTCTTGGTCAAGTCGCAACGATGAGCTAGTGAGCAATCCCACGGGCCCGCATTGAGTTAGGCCGAACCGGGCAAGATCGGCAGGCCGGTTTATCCATAGGGACTTTAGGAAAACCCGTTCTGAAAGCCTCGATACTACTATACTGAGCGTTTAGATGCACTAGCCCAGTATGTTACAGTCGACAAACATTCTAATAAGTGAGGGCGTCAGATTAAGCTCATGCGCTGCATCCTCTCGTATGCAGTGCATGGGCCCGCCGACACACGGGCGCAGGCAGTCGTGTCTGGCTTGGCTTGGCACAAGATCGAAACCCATTGGCCCGTTGTGGTAAGGCCCTGCGAGGAACACATGATACCTACCACACGGCCATGATAGGCATGAAAATGAGCGGGGACAACCACGACCACAACCGGGTTTCCCGGGCATGTGTAGCTGTTAAAGGGGATTATGGCGGACGGTGATCTTCAATGGGCCTTTCTGTACTAACGTCCAAAGCGGAAAGCCCGACACGAGCCTATCATTAGCTAGACGCGTGCGAGCTAGGAGCGAGAGTTTAACGGTCGTCTTGGAAAATCGGTACCGAGTTTCAATGACCGTTACTTCGATACGTGAGAATAAATTTCGAACTCCCATTAGCTTAGAATCTCCTGCCTGGAAATTCCACGCCAAAAGTCGCTGGCGTCCCGCGCGTCGCGACCATTTCTGCGCCGGTCGCCTTGCCGCCCCACGGCTCCCATCCTCCACCAGCCAGGTTTAACCGGGGATTATGGCCGAACAATTTGGTGCCCATCATACCAGACCGTTCACGCGGTCCTGATACGTCCTTTCATGCAAGTATATATTTCTTCCTGAGCCCCAACGTTCCTGAGGCGCGTAAGTGGGACAACATAGAAGACTTTGACTATATTTACCTGCCAGTGTGGCGCTGTTCTCGAGGGGTTTGTTTTGGCGCCGTGCACTAAGAGTCCAACGGTCATTTCGGCTGGTCTTACGGGTAGTTGAGATGATAAACGAAAACTTTGTAACGAGGACAAATGGGTGTATCGGTGCCATAGCTTCAAAGCTAAGCATTACGGCCATCTTTTGGGTGGGGTGACCGAGCCAATCGGCGTGAATAACGCGCATGAGACTATCTCTACCAGGCTGGCCACGTTCAGTAGGCGCTTGTTAGGGGGAGGGACAACTTTGGGGGAAACTCATCGCGCCTGATCACTTTAATCCTACGAGTCATTCCGGGCTCCACCTGAGTTTGCCTTGATGAGACATCCTAGGGCCATTCTAGGAGCACGCAACTTTGCAACGTCCGTGTCCCCTCAATGGGCACTATTTTCAACGCCAACAAACCACTTGGTCTACATTACCCCCCACTTACGTTGGTCAATGTTTACGGAGTACTTGCTTGATGCTCCGACAGGCGATGCACACTCTCGCCTCAATGAATTCTCGGCGAAGGCTTGTGGGTCTCGGTACCATGGGCCTTAAGAGGTGCATCTTCTTTGCCTGTATTTGACGGGGTAACGATGCCCTTCTATCAAGCTTGTGATACTTCTTCCCTTGACCACACTTGGTCTAACCGGCTGAAAAACCCCGAGATATTCGCCCTCTGAAGCCCGCTAGGCCCACGCTGACAAATATACGCATGGTTCAGCTTGTCAATAGCCCATGGCTGGCGGAATACCTTCCGCAATTGCTAGGAAGGTGACGCCAGCCCTTTGCGACTCCTGACTCACGGCGTTTCTCTATATCATGCAGTTCACAAGACCAAATCCAGTTGCCCAGATAATTATATCCTATTGTTCTTCTCTTCCGCCCTTGAGTGTGCTCGAGCCTTTGGTCGTCCAGAATCCTTACCTTCCCACTTTACCTGGCCTCCAGCCATACCCCACCATTCCCACCGGTTCGCAACCCATATCATTACAATGCCGTTAAGCAAAGGTGCGCCATCTCGGCTCGATAATCTTCGCAAGATTTTGCAGTGCCAGGAGCCGGAGGCGCCGCAGCTGCCAAAGTGTGCCTCGTCAATTGTTCGACCGAAGGACCTCGGTCATCGCTCTCCCGTGTCACGTGAGCCGTCCGTCGACGCCGACGCAATCACAAGTCAACAAGACGGTGATTGGGAAGCAGATGAGGTCTATGCCCCGATCATGTCAGATCCGGTCAAGAACCTTGATCCGGATAGTGATGTTGTCGCTTGTCTGTGCGAGTAAGGCTACCGCCAAGCTATTCATGCCAGTAGTATATCTGCTAACCTGGCTGTTTCAGTCTCGAAGCACGAGTGAGGTAGGGAGGAAGTCAACTTGACAGTGCCCCGAAATCGGCCGGAGCCTGGCCTCACCACAAGGGTCTACGGAGATGGATCTGCTGACGAATCATACGTTTAGTGCGGTTGAAACTTTCATGAAGACCCAAGAAGAAACGAACGAGGTTTTGCGGCGGAGCATGGAGGACCTCCGCACGCGGGCCCCGCCGGGCGCCAAGCGCTCGAGCCGGATAAGCAAATAATTCAATAACCAGAGTTCGCACGGACATCAGGCTGCAATAAGAGTACAACGGCATGTTTCAATCGAATTGCGCCAGGTAGCGGAATGGAACATCTAATTAACGAATGGATGGGAATTAGGACTCCTACTTTCTTTCTCCAGATTCATGTGCTTTAGAGGTGACATATGAGTACCACGGGAGCCCTGTCATGGGCCATCGCTAGTAAACCCCTCACCACTGGTGATAAACGGTCTCTATCTATACTGGCCGAACACACCAGGGTTACGAAATTGGGTAAAAATGGTGCTGGGTAGATCCACGGTTATCTACACTAAGCCGGAGCGAGGTAATCGCGAGTTGGCTGTCCTAGACTTGGAGGCCTATTACACCTTGGAACCTTAGCGCGGCCGAGACTTGCTTCGGGCTAGCATTGCTCTTCTTTGGAATGAGCTGGCGCTATAGTCTCTCCTAGTTCGGGTGTACCTAGCACCCTTTTCCGATTGATGAGCAAGTTAGTCCCTGATCTATTGAGCTTTGTGATATACCCTACTCTATGCGGTATTGGATTAGGCTCATGAGATGCATCCTTCGGTATGCAATGTCGCAGAGCGTGTATGCCTACGGGCCATCCAGGTACGTGCCGCGTCTACTTTGCGGAGGCTACGTAGTTTATGTGGGACTACGAATGACGGATTCTTGTTCGAACGGCCCCATACCCGAGCGTTCCGGGTGTGGCTTGAATGCCAAGATGCCTGCTTCGTTCGCCTAGTCTGATGGACCCCATATAACTCCATTTTCTCACCAAGTGCCTTTCAAACTGGCAAATCGCGTTCGACGGGCCGTCCCGGTAAATCGGTACTGAAATGATGATGGTCATGGCCCCGCAAACTATTGGCGGCACTGTCTCAAATGCGGTAGATCGTCGCCGACGCAACATATGGCAGTAGAGCGGCCGGTCAATTATTGGACTCTCATTACAATCAAGCAAAAGTTCTCCTTCCTAGTCTGGCCGTGTCATTGTGTCACTCTCGACTAGACTTAGACCTCCGGCATACACCGACCCTTTTTGCCGAGATAATTGATCACTTTTGTCGGGTTCCAGTCACTGTCCACATCAGTCATACATGTGTATTCGTCGTGCCTCTCTATATGGCGTGGTACTATCGACCATGGGAGCTCCTGCCATAAGAATTTACGCGGTCCCTTCCGTGCTCTACAGCAGACCAGTCGACGGCATTAACAATTCCGCGCCTAGACGTCGATCTTATCCGAAGACAGAGGATTTGGAATAGCCCACTGGAACTAAAACCCACTGATAAATCCACAAGGTCCTGTATAGTGCTTTCAGGCCCGAAGTGTTCCTGGATCAGCAGGAGGTATTTCACCGGCTTCCCCTCCACCGTTAAGGGTTAGGATGGTGGGGTTCATGCTGGGGCTTTCAACACTATGATCAGGATGCAATGAGGATGATCAATCTTGTCAACATAAGAAGGCAAACCACGTTGAACAATTAACTGACTGATTATCTCGGCTGAGCAAGGCGATGAAGTGCCGAACTAGTCGACACCCGCGGCCATAGTCGAGACTCATTCCGGTCGGGATCGTCTGGTCTTGGCAGGATGAAGATCGGCGGCGAAGCCGAGGTCAAGAGCCTCGGTTCTACTGCTTTTCCTTCCACAGTTCCCGATGAGATAACCACATGCTTGTTCCCGTCCGGTTCTCCTTTAACCGTCGAGAACAAGTCTGAACCATTCTCATGACCTTTGTACTGTGACCAATAGGCAAACTCGATGGCCGCTGCTCCTGTAGGCCCCGCTAGGTGCTAGGTGCATATGGAAGGATGCGCTCGGCGAGTTTAATATGACCAAACAGCACAAAGGCGTGGTCAGAGCGTCCGTTTAAACGCTCGCTCGGACTAGTTGGCGGCCACTGATGACCAGCCGGCTGGC